TAAGTGCAACAGTATATCAAAATTTATTGGTGTTGTACTTTCAAAATCTGCATTAGTCACTCATTTAATTACTGTAATTTTTGTTTTTAACAGGGACCTATATGGAAGAAAATTCGAGGATTAGGTTATGCATATTCTTATTATATTACTTTAAAGCAAGAAGAAGGAAAAATTTACTTAGGTTTCGATCATTCAGTAAATTTACCAGCTGCTTATCAAGCTACTAAATCAATAATAGTACGTTAAATTTGAAATAAATAATATTTTTACCTTTATCAATTTCTAAAAAAAATCTCAATATGAATTTTTAATATACTTTAAAATATAATTTTTCTATAATAGTTTTGATTTAAAAATCTTTATTTTTCTATAATTACACAATATTCAAGATCACTTGTGGCTACTATTATTTAAAGTTTTAAATATATTTAAAATTAAACAGCATCAAAAATATTTATCTCAAACAGCCACAAAAGATACTTAGACATTAAGTATAAGTATTTTTACAAATAATATTTATGTTTATTGTTAATGATGTTCCCGAAATTCGTGATTATTGTTTTTCGGTAATATTGTTCGTAAAGTACGTATAAGCTTTTTTTTAGTATTGCATTTTGTCATAGATTATTTTTTATGTAGACAACATTTTGTATTGTTAAATATTTCTCTAATTTTAGGATGAACATTTATCAAGCGGATTTTCTTGGGATCAAACACTTTTCGAATCAGCAAAAAGTCGTACTATATTTGAAATGTCTAACAAGGAGAATTCTACTGATCTATTATCTATACAATTAGTTTGGTTAAGCTTACGAAATTTAAAAAAAACTTATATCCAGTAATGTTTTAATTATTGTAATGAAATATTTAAAAAAATTTAATGTATTTTCTTTAGGGACCTTATTAAACAAATTTCATTAGTGAAACTTGAAGATCTTCCAAAAATTGTCAGGAAGTATGTGATGCCATTATTTAATCCACAATCTACAATAACTGCAGTGGTATGTCCTCCTACAAAAATTGAAGAAACAGCTTATGAATTTGAAAAGTAATATTTAAATGACATTAGAGATGAAGTTGTGTAAATGTAAATAAATGGGATAATTTTTAATTCATTTTTTTCTTAAAATATTTTTCTAATTTTATTTTAGATTAAAAATTTATTGTCCTTATATTTTATCATATAAAATTAACTTCGAAATAAAAACTTGTGCATTTAACTAAAACATTGCAATTTAATTACTCCAATCACTTACAATTATACCACTTCATTATATTAATATAAATACAATTTTCTAATGAAAATATAATTAAAATTTTCAGAATGGGTATTAAAATGAATGTGTACAAGTCTTTAGATGAAAGTTTTCTAAATAACTAACAACATACTTGGGTTGAATACTATATTAAATAATTTTATCAAAGCCTAAAATTAGTATATATTCTATTTATTAAATAAGACATACTACTCAGCCAAAGACAATCAAGTAGATGCTGTAAATGAAAATAGAATTGTAAATGTTTTTTTTATATTAATTATTTCTAAATATGTTAAAAATAAAAACCACTAAATTCATATATTTGGAAAATTAATTTTAACATTAAAATATTGGTAATTAAAAAACCCATCACAGGGGGGTCGTGATACAGTGCTGACGTGGCATAGTTGGATCAAGTATAATAATATCTGACAAAGATTAAAATCAATATAAAAAAAAAACGCTGCAATGCAAATCTTTAGATAGTGTTTAATTTTATAAAATTGGTAGATTATTCTAATAGCTACATGATCTTCTATTTCCTTATTAATATCCTGATGAAGATAAAGTATGTCAATAGAAAAAAGGATATGAATATTATTTCTCATAAAAAAAATTGTATTGATCGATACACTTTTCAATAAGTTATAGCATTTTAAAGTAAAAAATATTAAGCATAAAATCGCGAATTTTCAAACAAAAATAGAATTTGGTAGCCATTTTTACTGTGAAGACAAAATAAAGTCCAAAATTTGTTTTTCCATGATAAAGTATATTATATTAGCTTTAATTTAAGATATATATAAAAATGTCAGATTTTCCGGAAAACTTTCAAAAGTTATGTTGAAAAAGTTATCATATTAAATCCCCCCCTGTGGGCAGGCAAAGGATCAGATCTATAAAAAAAATATATATATTAATTTGTTCATTTTTGAAAAAGTTATGATAGTTTTAAGTAAAAACTTAAACATTGGAGGTTTCCACCATTTACAAGGAACGAGGGAAATTTATTTAATATTTGAGGGTAATGTCTTTGACTAGATGCGATTTATGATCTTTTGACGTATCGTTGAAAGAAATTGGTTCGGTTTGAGCTGAGAAAAAGTGGTAACAGACACAAAAAAAAAACACATAGCTAATAAATGCACATTCAAAAATTCTCAAGTATTAAAGACTGTATTCTTTATATGTTTTAGGTTTTTTTTTATATAAATAAAAATATAGTATGACAATTATATAGAAATTAGATGATTTAGTATTAATTAGCATTATGAATTACAGAAATGAAAGATATTAAATATTTGTAGTATAATAAGAGTTATGTATGTACAATAAATTATAATATACAAAGTATTCAGTATGTAAGAAAATAGGTCAATTGTTATAAACATTGAGAACAATAGAAACCCGTTTTCTTTCTTACTGAACCATCTATATAATGTAGTAAATCGCTGAAAAGGTATTACATATACTTCCATATTAGTATATTATAAGGTTTATAACACTGTAGTAAATAATTATAAATTCTTATGTAAAATAATTATATTTAAAAAACCAATAATAAAAGTATAATGATTAGGTTAAGAAAAAATCAAATCAAATTTAAATTGTAAATAATTTTGGGTTATAAATTATTTTTTTGGAAAAAAAAAGTAACTCTAGTACCACATAAAACACTAATCCTTTTTTCATTGAAACAAAAATCCTTATAAATAATACTATGTTAAATATCACAAAAAAAGAACCCAGCACAGTGGAGACGTGTCATAGTTGGGTCCAGTATAGATTAAAGATTTGCGCGTATTTCCATCCGGCAGGTTGTTGTTGGGTCTGAACGAACAATATCCCTTGATGGTTGTAGCCATCCCAACGTATTTTATCTTGTCCATTTCTTTACCATTTATCTCAAATCTGATTTCATCGAATAGGTGCATGAGAAAATTTTGCTCCATAACTATTTCACCGACTGTTCCAGCAAGTGGTTTTTCCACTTTTCCCTCGATTTGCAAATAACTTTCGCACGGAACGGTGAATTTCTCCTTGTTGCATACCTCGATACGGATTTCATCGTTGTGTTCGTACGAATTGTTATAACTTTTATATTCCAAATAATACTCGCGTTTTACACTGTCGTCTTGCTAACATATTTCTAATACGTGTAAGTACTCTGCCATATGAGACCATATGCCATAAGAGACCAAACCAGACCCCGATTTGTATGGTTGCAGGTAAAATCCTTTACCCATGCTTATCGCTGTATTGCCTTTACGAATAAGTTCGATAGCCATCTTGACCACATTTTCAGCACCGCCGGCTAAAGCTCCCAACGCTGACAGTCCGGCAAATAGATATAAGCGGTAGTACACTACCTTTAGTTTTCGGAACATTTATGGTACGGGGCAGTGAAATTTTTTCTTTCTCACCACACGCCGTTCCACCACCAACGATCGTTTTGCCACACTCAGTAAATCCATTTGTTCACATTGTTATCAAGTTTGGCCGCACGCACGACTCGTTTGAAACCCATACCTAGTTTACGTTTCAATTTCATCGCGTTGGTCACGCCTCAAACTGTGACTCGTTCAGGCAATTTAGCATCTTTGACCAACATTCGTTTCAAAGCCCGATGTTCCAACACCTTGTCCGCTTTATGATGGTCCTCGACATTCTTGTATTTACTATAAATGATATCATGATTGTAATAAGCAGCATCAAGCGAGTTTATCCCAACGTCACTTTGCTTCAATTTCTTTTCTAACTGTGTTCCAGAGCCCGCAAATTAATTGGTCTCTTTGGAACGCGGTGGTACATCGTTACTAGTCAAGAACGGCAAGTCTTTATGCTCGTCATGCAGCTCTTCTGGATACGATACGTCCAATTCATAAATACGCCCCGTATTACCAGTGTGTGTGTGCAATATCCTAGTATAGGCACCTATACGATCGTCTGTTTGCTCCAACAAGGCCTTAAAATCGGCGTAGATGACAAACGGTAGTTGTTGCGTCTTTACCCACGCGTCAAAAGTGACTTTACTACCCTCTGCCGGCATAACGAGTAAAATTGGTTTATTCTTGCCGCATATAAACGTGTGTTGCTCCAACGCTTGTTGACCTCGAAAAATATGCTTCTCGGGTTGATCATCAAAGCTGGTGAAGCAACGTCTGCGAGTGTATATACGGCCATAATGTTGCATTTTTTGGCTGCGCACGAGCCTCAAAAAATCTGAAATGTACGCGTAATAATACTTGTCAGAGTCACCGATATACAAGTCAAAATAATTTTGTTGTTCTTGGTCGGTGACTCTTAGCGGATACACCGACCACTTCATTTTAACGTCGTCCTGTTCCAAGCCTTACACGTTAACGGACACGTTAGGGTTATGTCGTTCAAATATTTTAATTTGGGACACAGATGTGGGGAACGTTAACCCCGTGAAATCATACCCGTGTTCCTCGTTAAAATATTTATGATTAACACGCATATTATAATTAACCCCAACGTGTCTCACCAAAATGGCCCACTTGAAACAGGACTGATCGATGTTTTGTGGGTTGATGATTGCTCTTCTATGGTAAATTTCGGGTGGGACAGGAATATATGATGAGCTGGCGAGGGGCGTATACTTGTATACGCTGAGCATGAGTCCGACGATATTCGCTAGCGTGAATCCGCTACCCCTACCTGAGTACACGTTTTCCACAGCGAGCATAATCTCGAAATCATTATTAACCGTTCCCACAATGTCCGTGTCGGACAACAACGTCCTAGCCTATGTCTTGAAGGCACAGTCCTTGGGCGGTGCTTCTGATCGCGGTATATGGTAAGTAGCCTCCAATTTGAGATTATATTTAATAGGCCGAACAGCTGCAATTTCACCGAGTTTGGCAACCAGCTCAGATTTAACAACACGTAGAAAATCTCGATAGCTCGCGAAATTTTCCACGTTTTTTCGATAAAACCAAACGGCTCCTCTCTCCAATGCGGAATCAATCTCGATGAAATTTTTCGCGTTCGGCAATTGTATACGCAACCTTTTCGATTTTACCCTACTGTTGTTAGCCTTACGTTTAACCGAATGATGGTGTGGAACAGTCGCGGAAGAGGTGGCTATGGAAAAATGTGTATAAAACAATTTGTGTATCGAAAATATCGAAATATTCAATCAAAAATATAAAAACTTACCTTGTGCAGCACCAGTAAAATGTACATCAGCCATTGTTATTCGATTTTAAATTTAAATTAAATAAATACTAGTACTTATATACGTTTAACAGTATATTTTTAAGCAATGTTTTAGCGAGCCGTTATTAATGCTTAATCAAAGAGTGAATAAAATCTTTATTGACGTCTTTATAAATACGGTTTGTTACTGTATTATCCGCTGCACCAGTGTTGGTGGTGGCAGTCATTAATCGCACAAGTGCATAGTATATCGCGAGCAAAATGATCTAAGTATACAAGTTGATAAATTGATTCGTTATTTATAATAGCGTGAAAAAATTCAGTGTAATGTTTATACATATTTGTCATTAGGATTTAAAACAGTTGCCTTTGTAAAAATTATGACCTTCGCCGTCTCAAATTCGTTGACGGAACAAGAATGCAATCCGTCCAGTCGAGACTATTACTTAATTAAAAATAATTAATTAAAGTTGTAAAATACAGTAATTATTTATAACATTGAGAGGGATACGAGTAATAATTCAGACAAAAATATGTATGACATTAATCGATAAGTTTATTACAATTATAATAATAATATTATAATCATTAGAATATATGTTCCAGCAATTATTATCGTCGTCGTCAGCGGCATTAGTAGTAGTGTTTATTTAAGAATGTGTTTTGCTATAAGAAAACTCGAACAGTCGTCATTATTATACATTGTCGATAAAAAAAAAAAATACTGATTTATTATTCACTATACGAATAACGGTCAAGCTTATAGCTTGTATATTAACAATTAATGTAATTGACGGCGACATTGCCGCCGCGTTAAGCCATCTGCTGTATTAATCTCGAGTGCTATAGTATAAAAATATATAATCATCAATACAGCCATCTGGCACACAATGTTTCGAACTAATTTTTTTTTACAAAATAGGTAAAATTAACATTTTACGTACAGACTTTATCTAAATATATGCATGTCGCTAATCAAAATAGCGGATTCGACGTTTAATATTCATACTTTTCACCGTAACCGTATAGCTTACCTGGAAAACGCATTTTTTTTTTTTCGTCAAAAAACCGATATTACGTATCGGGATAGTGATGGGCATTTTCGAATAGTTTTTATACAACCGAATACTTTATTTTTAGCATTAACTATCGAATAGTGTTTAAAACTATTCGAATATATTGTGTAACTATCGAATATTTTTTGAATGACTATCGAATAGTTCGATAGTTTATATTCTATATTTCNTACTATTCGACTATTTTTTGAATGACTATCGAATAGTTCGATAGTTTATATTCTATATTTCCCATCACTAGTATATACTATATGGTCGAGCATAATTTAGGCGCGCGATAAGTTGTGTTAGTTAACGTCGTGTTTCATTACCCCCCTATCATATGATTTGATGGAAGAGGAGAGGTTCCTCACTTGCCTTAGGTTAGTTTACGTTGGGTTTTGTCATCGCGTTCCCCTCCAATTGCATTATATTAGTTTACGTTGGATTTATTTCCCCTCCACGTCTCTTCACATACTTCTACTGGTGAGCGGTGGGTGGATGAAGCGGGGGGAACCAAAATCCCCTATATTACCCTACTTATAAAACCCACTTTAAATCAAGTGACAAATCTGATGTATGTAACTATCGACCAATTTTTAAATTAAGTGCGCTACCGAAAATATTTGAGAAACTATTGAAACCGGAATTATCATTAAGTTTCAAAAATGTGCTAAATAACTGCCAACATTGCTTTCGTAGCTCTAAATCAACCATTACCAACCTACTTGTATTTTATTCTAATATTGCTTCTATTGTTGGAAATTGTGATTGAGTTGATACAATTTACAGACATGAAAAAAGAGTTTGATACGGTAAATCATGTGGTATTAATTGATAAATTAAAAAATATTGGAGTAAGATCCATTACTTAAATGGTTGGCTTCATACATTACAGGCAGCAACAAGTAAAGATAAATAATATTATTTATCCCATCATCCATGTTACTTGGGGTTCCCAGGGAGGGCATTTATTTCTATTACTCTTCTTAATTTTCATAAATGATCTTGCTGACGTTATCTATTATGCTAACTGTTTGTTTTTTGCCAATGATTTAAAAATTTATTCTAGTATCCGTTCAGTTGTCGAAATAATCTTGGACATAAGTTGGAGTCATAATCTCCAAGAGGACCTATGCAGATTTTATAACTGGTGCGTTGTCAATGGTTTATGCTTGAATGTGTCTAAATGTTTTCAGATCACTTTTTGTCATAAACGTTCATTTGAACTAAAGATTAATAAATAATCAGAATTAAAAAAATTATAAGTAACATTAGTAAAAGGTAAAGAAGAATTTAAAATAAAAATTACAAATATTATTAAAGAAGGATGACTTTTTCATATGGAACGGAAAAATTATTATAAAAAACTATATTCGATTGAAAACTAATGCAAACACAGCAAATAATAATACTAGTGCAATTATCTAATGAAATATAAGTGACAACATGCTCAACAACTCAATGGTCATATAATCTTATCTAACTTGTAATATAAAAAGTTTTAATCATGATATTATTGTATACACTGAAACATAGTTAAATTATTCGGTCGAATCTGTTGAATAAAATTTAATATTTTTTTAACAGCAATAAATACATCAATGTAGAATATAACTATTAAATTCTATTCAACAGATTCGACCGAATAATTTAACCATGTTTCAGTGTATACAATAATATCATGATTAAAACTTTTTATATTACAAGTTAGTAAATCAATTTTAGAACTTAATAATATTAAATATTTAAAGATATTCTGACGTGATCTGTAATTTGGTTTTTTGTTATTCCAGGTATATTTAATGAATCAATTTGTTTCACCTTTTTTATCTTCTTCCATTTGCTTAGTTAAATTATTCAAATGGTTCTTTTGTTGTAACGTCCTATCAAGATCTATTTGAACAGAAATAAGTTCTGAATTAGAACACATTTTATGTTTAATTTCAAGAATATTATAAAAATCAGAATGATGAATTTTAAGTAGGAAACATATAATAATTTTCAATTTAGATACTTATTTTCAAGTACTAACAGTCTAAAATTTAATATTTTATTATCAGCTGTTAATTAAGCTAATTGATTAGAAACATTATCAAGTTGAGATTCTATGGATTTTTTAAAATCTTATGTAATTAATTTCTTCACTCTAGATGTTTGAATATAAGCAAAATCACAATTGCTACAAATCCACGATTTAATTTTACTTGGTANTAATCAAGTTGAGATTCTATGGATTTTTTAAAATCTTATGTGATAGTAATTAATTTCTTCACTCTAGATGTTTGAATATAAGCAAAATCACAATTGCTACAAATCCACGATTTAATTTTACTTGGTAAATTTTTTACATACAATTAGATAGAGGAGTACATTATATATGAAATATATAATGACATGATGTACATACAATACTATTGTTGATGGAGACTGATATTATACTTACTTCATATGGACATTGTAAAAAGATAAGAGAAAAAACCCAAAATACTTGAAAAGTTGTTAATAACACGACAACATGTCTGCTGCTACACCCCTCCAGAATATATCACCTGTAAATCTAGATATCTTTGAATAATTAAAATTACAATTATTATTGTTTTCGTGACCACACGAGGGACGATTTTAAGTGTCATCAAAATCGGGTTTTGAAGTCGCCGACAGTAACACATTCCTTGGTTAAATGCATCACAAAGCAGTGCAATTAATTAAAAAATTAAAAATAAACATTTTTTGGGTGATCACAGATTCTGAAGGAGTGGTTATAGTGACATTATTAATATGTCAAATTAAAGATGATAAAATTATCTAAATCTATACCTGAGCAATTTTAAATAAACCAATTTTAAGCAAAGTTGACAGTTTAAAAAAACAAACTTTGAAAAGATACAACATTTTTTTTGATCTAAACAAATTTTGTAAATGCATTAGTCCCGAAAATAGAAATTATTATATAGTATTTAAGTATACTTTGTTGACATAATTCAGATAATAATTTAAATAACTTGAAAGGGATATGATTTTATAAAAAAATCTAGGAAGCCTGTAGCTCTTTAACACTACTATACTGGAACGATATTACATAAAAAAGAAATTTTTTTATAGTGTACATAATAAATATACAAGGAAGCAAATTATTACAATTAGAAAGCAAAATAAGCATCATTAATTTCTATAATAATGTCTTTGAACTTAAAATAATTAATTTCAATCTTTTATCTATCAAAAATATTTCACGAAAGAACCCAGATAATTACACAACAAAATAGTTTCAATAATTTTTTTTATTAAAATCATACTTTTTTTCCAAAAAGAATATGAAAAACATATTTATCTTATTGGAACAAGAAAATTTTTATAAAGATAACTTTGACAAAGATATTTATTAGAACAAGTAATAACTTTGGATAATATAGCTTTGGAACTAACGTTCATTGAGACAAGAAATTGAGTGAATGAGTAATCTGAATATAGGTAATAATAAAATTATTACCTATAAACTTCAATAATAATCCAACCGATAACTGCCTTTTTTTCACAAATTTATAGATTATAATTTGTACCATAGATAAAGTAAAATATTTTTATAACGTTTTATCTTATCTATGGATGTACATTATAACTGTATTATATATTTATGATTTGTACACAAAAATAAAGTTCATTTGCTTACATAAATTATGTTATGAAAAAATATCATACAATAATTACTTGTTACTAGTCAATTCAATTTTGTTTACTTAACAGATAATAGTAACTATGATTGTGATAATGTATAAAAAACTGATAAGAAGCAAATTAACATTAGTTAAAGGGTAAGTGTTTACGTTATCACAAATATTAATGCAAACAAATTTAAACGTTGGTCTGAATTTTCAAACTTGATTACTGCTCAACTACGCTTTTTGCATATGTTCAATGCTTATCTACCGTGAAGAAATACTGTTCGACTTAATTAACCAACTGCAAAATACTAGTGTTTGTTCTCACTTTTCATTTCAAGTGCTGTAATACATTGTATTATTAACAATTTTTGGTAGGGTTACATGGATATCTATCTTTAAATATAAATACTTAAATATAATATAAATATAAAATTTAAAAAAGTCTCTGCAAAAGAAAAAAAACAAAATTCTGTCTTAATATTCATAAATAATTATTATAATGTTAATATCTATTATGATAAAAAATAATTTCCGATAATGTCTATTACTACTAAAATAGTTACTATTATTGATTATTACGAAAATTATTTGATAAATAGTTGTTAAAAATATTTTAGTTACTTTTATTATTTTATTATAATTTTCAGTTCTATCATTTTTATTATTGTGAAAAAATATAAAATGGGTGATATTAAAACTTTATTGTAAGTACAATTAATTATGTTAATATTCAGGTGTTCAAAAAGTAAGGAAACAGATCAATTTTTACATACTATGAGAACAATAGATACCAGTTCCTTACTTACTGAACAACTTATATAAGTATGCCTAAGGTAAACTATTACAAGTCTATTTTTTTAATAATGTGGTAATTTGAAATGATTATCTAAAAATAGAATTTAAATGCATTTTTAAAGTTTTCACCATTTAGTAAAAATAGCACACTTGTGAAAGTTTACTTTTAAGATACTAATATGAGTATACTGTTATTACAATATATGAATTTAGCCCGGGAACAATTGTTGGTTTTGGGAACCCATTATTGGATATGTCTATTATTGGCGATGAAAATTTACTAAAGAAATATGAGCTTAAAAGTAATAATGCTATATTAGCCGAAGAAAAACATATGCCTTTGTATGAAGAATTAATTAATTGTGAAAAAGTAGAATATACGGCTGGTGGCTCAGCTCAAAATTCCTTAAGAGTAGCTCAAGTAATATTCCTAAAGAATAAATAATTATTGAATCATGTTTTATTGTACATGTGTCCTTATAATTTTCTAGTGGATACTTAAAGAACCAAATGTTACAGTTTTTTTTGGTGCAGTTGGAAAAGATAAATATAGTGATATTTTAAAACAAAAGGCCAATGAAGAAGGATTAACTGTGCATTATCAGTTTACTCCTGAAAAACCCACAGGTTTTAAAACTAATAAAATTTGAGATTGTGATTATGAACTACTATGTTTGTGAATAAGAGATTAGCTCTATAATTAGTGTTGCCATCATTTCTACTATGATAGCCTAACTATCCATCCTAGAGTATGTAATGTTAAGAAATTTCATTTTTGGAGAAAACTGCAATGGGCTTACTAAGCTCATGCTGTAGCCCATTAAAAAAAAAAAATTAAGGTGTCTCCAATGTTATTAGCATCAGTCAAAATTCTATATATTGCAATATAATATTTGTATAATATTATGGTTAAAATTGAATCACTTAAAATTTTTAAATGTTTTGGCAAGGTTTAAATTATTTAATAATTATATAAACGTTTAACTAGTAAAGTAAATATTTCATAATAAATTTTTCATTTTTGAAAACTTATTCAGGAACTTGTGCTGTTATTGTTACAAATAAAGGCAAAGACCGTTCATTATGTGCAAACTTATCAGCAGCCCAAACATTTTCAGAAGATCATTTACAATTACCAGAAAATAGAGCTATAATAGAAAATGCTAAATTTTACCTTACCACAGTATGTTTGAATAAATAAAAATAATTAATTAATCTGGTAATATGACAAATAGATAAGAGGTTCAATACACAATTGTTAGACTTTAGAAGTCAATAAAATTAGTATTAAAGTAGAATGATATTTTGTGATACTGAACAAATATTATTTGTTGAACTTGCTTCAATAAGTTTTCCCTGTTAAAATAATTGATAGATTATTTTATTAAATAGGGATTTTTTTTGCAAGTTAATGTTAAAGCTGTTAAAAGAGTAGCAGAAATTGCAAGACAAAGAAAATATCCTTTTTTGTTTAACATCAGTGCTCCGTTTATTTGTCAGTTCTATATGAATGATGTAATGTCAATTTTTCATTATGTGACTATATTAATTGGAAATGATGAAGTAATAATTTTTTAAACTTATTTTATATTTATTCAAGCTTAGTAATGTATAATTATTATTTTAGGAAGCTAAAGCATTCTCAGAAGCTCAAAAATGGAATTTTGATACTACTGAAGATATTGCAAGAAAATTAAGTACTTTTGAAGTTGATGATAGTCAAAAGCGACTGGTTATTATTACACAAGGAGATAAACCAGTAATTGCTGCTACTGGTAAATCATGTCTTTAAATTGTATGTTGTTAAACAACTATTACTCCAGGTTTTATTTAGGTATGACTATCAATATGATCTTAGTCAAGAAAAATGTTATATGAATTATTATAATGGCTCAAGTCAAAAATGTAGTGTTAATAAACATTAAGGATACTTAACAACTTTCAATTCTCATTTTATTTTATAAAAAATATTAATTTTGTAATAAACCAAAAAGTAATTAAATAGTGAATGTAAATGTGATAAAATTGTGGAATGGATAAATATTGGTATCTTGGGGTTGAATAGTATTGAATGAGTGACATTAAATATCCCTTAAAATTTTATAATTTCTCTTAATGTATGACAATTACATAGAAATTATATTTAGTATTAATTAGAGTTATAAATTACAGAAATGAAAGATGTAATCAACAAAAAAATAAAAATAATTAAATGAATAAAAAGAAAATATAGAATATAGATTAGAATTCATTTGGGATTATTTGGAATGTTAAATATTTGAAATTTATATAATTTTATTTAATTTATTAATTCTGTTATTAATTATTTAATGGTTCATTACATAATAGATTGTTTGATAATCGAAAGTGTAAATTAAATTGTACTTGCCTTATGTCCTAAGTCACGCAATAATACTTTAAGTAATCCAACATTAATTTTGGTATTAAATGCACTACATATACGTTTCAAACTATTTGTTGTATAATCAGTATAATTATTTACGAAAACAATCACTAAACACTATATTTTTATTAGAAATAATTTTATAAATTGCCCATATTTAATTTTTTCTTTGTTGAATTAGTATTTTTTGAGAATGTATTTTATTGAGAGATTGACACCAATATTTCTTAAATCTTCTTCTGATCGGCCAAAAGAACATTAAAATATATTCATATCTATATAAAAATTTTAACCAAATATACCCAATTCTAGAATAATACTCAGTCCACTGGGGCGATGTTTGTTAGAACAAAGACATTAAGCTACCAAAAAGAAAAGCTCAATAAATTTTTGCTATTAAATAAAAATTTAATGTTTAAAATATTAATTGATGTTTATTTTCATTATAAGAAAAAGAATAAATAAATAATTATTTAATGAATAAATAAACTTATATTAAAAGATTGACCAAAACAAAATTTCACTTTAAAATTTTTAAGTGTAATTTAATTTGAAAAATATTCTGAGTCCAAATTAATTAAAAAAACAACTATGTCACAGAGAGTGAGAATCTTGAGTAGGGCATTGCTGATTTTGTGTATTTTGAAGTTACCAAAAGATCTGGTTTTGATGAAGAAAAATGGTTTTTTATAGTCAACATGGGGCAGTCTAGCAAACCCTAGTGTGATCTTGGAAGATTCTATTCTAATTGGTTTATGATAATGGAGAATATGCATTTAGGCATTAAAAACACAGTAAAAATTGTAATTTAGATGGTTCATATTGTTAAAAAATTTGTTGAACAACTTACTATTATTGTGAAGTAATGTAATCATTTTTACCTGCAGTAAAAACAATACATTTTTTTTTATTAGATGGTGTGATAAGTCACTATCCAGTGAGTAAAATACCAACAAGTGAAATAGTGGATACAAATGGTGCTGGTGATGCATTTGTTGGTGGTAAGATAATTTTAAATGGAATATTTAGTATTTATTATTAATAATATAAAAAATAATCCATCATTTAAATACATAACCAAAAATGTTTGATTTGTTTATTTATTAATTGCATTTATATCTTTTAGGTTTTGTTGGTAGATATATTTTGGGTTGTTCCTTGGAAGAGAGCATAAACTCTGGAATAAAAGCTGCATCATATATTATCAAACGACCAGGAATCACAAGAGGAGACTGTTTTGATTTATAAACACCTATTTTTTACACCATTGTTCTTAAAAAAAATATAATTAAGATTTAATTACAATATATAAATTAATCAATATCATAAACTTTTTTAATATATGTATATATTATATATAAAAAAAAATTAACTTAAAGTGGTACCTTACAATTGATATATTTACAGAACAATTATTTTATTAAAATATATTTTAACAGTCATTTATCGAAGCTATTAATTTTTTAAAATTACATAGTTGATTATCGTCTAGTCCAATATCGTTGGCATACTTAGAAAAGTTCATTGCAAGCATTATAGAACATGTCTTAACATGCATTTTGAAATATTCTATAATTTTAATATTTTTATCATCACAATCTCTTCTTTGCATTTCTAAAGGACTTTTTAAGTTTATTATTGAACTAACAATTTGTCCTAAATGTTCTCGGACTATACCATATTCATCTTCTTTTAAAGAAGCAACAGCTAAATTAGATAATATATAACAACACCATACAACAGCTTCAAATTCCTCAATAGTTTTCTCTTTTTCTAATGGTCCAAAAATATAATTATATATAATAGATTTTTCAAGAAATAATGTTAATTTATTAGGTTTATTATTTAATTCTTCATTTGATTTTGTACAACCATTCAACTGTATTAATCTGGCATTAGTTATAATTCGTCGATTGACTGTGATAGGAGGTAAACGTTTGACAAAATTGGTCAAATCTTCTGTGGAATGTTCTATGTGACTGACACAAAAATTAAATATAGTTTTCCAACTTTGTGGAACATTTCCTGCAAAACTTAAACTAAATATGTCTTTTCTTCTAGAAATATCATTTATGGTTGCTTGGTAGAGGTCATACAACGCTAATAACTTAATAATTTTAATATTAGAATTTAAAGCATCAAGTAGACTATAATTCTCTTGTGTTAAAGTTACTATTGGAAATTTAATTCGCTCAGTCATATTAAGATATACAACATGTTCAATTGATAAAAACAAATATAAAATAAATGATATTGAAAACCATAAATGTAATATAAAATTAACTTTTGAACATAAAGAAGGATTGACTCCATACAACGGAATATATATAAAAAAAGTGTAAATTAATGACTTCTTTAAAGATTTTATTACAATATCTGATACTTTAGACATAAACATAGTATACTTGGTAGTTTGAATGATTGGAAAATATATACCTTGATCTGTGTAAATGCTTTCATAGTGGAAAATTCCTCCAGCAACTGCACAACCAGCATTTATCAATGACCAATGATTTTTGTTGGTATTAAGAGAATTGAGACAAGAAAAGCACCAAGCGCAAGCTGAACATAAGAGAGCACAGGATATTGTTTGAATGTAAATACCTCTGATGGCTTTGCGAAAGCGATTTGGGTAGTGCACATTGTAACGGACATAAGAGCGTAATGTAACTTTTACAAACACAAACACAGCAGCTAATACAACTGGTATAAATAAAAATGAATGTAAATTTAACGAAAAATTTAAAAGAGTCGATAATGAAACTAAACAACTCGATACACAAGTTACAAAAAATGAATTTAATACGGACTTATAAGTCCTGATAGCAAAAATATTAGAGTTGGCCATTTCACAAACTCAAAATAGTTTTAATAGCAATATAAATAACATAATACTTCAAATTACTAATGGGAACACTAAAAATTACTGTAGGCCGTTAGAAATCAAAATTAAACTTGCTTTATAATTTTACAACTCTATAATCAAGTATAAAGGTTATACCAATGTTACCAAGATTTAGCGAATATGCAATACCAAATTAAGATACCAAAGTAAAAAATATAATGTCTTTTTAATAGATTAAAATAAAAAAATTACTATTTTTTGTTTAGTTTAAATAATTAATTGATACTAAAAATTTAATTTTTGAAATTTTTAAAAATTAAGTTGTAAAAGAGTTATTATCTATAATTTGATAACAAGCTAGTTAATAAGAAAAGAATTTTGGAATTGGGCGTATCATTTTATTGAAAATATGTACAAACAAAACATTCAGTTTTAAATAGTTGTAAACAAAGTGTAAATTTTTAAACTTTTAACTATTCAAAAATGAAATAACTATATGTAAAAATGAACAATCCTATAAAATATATATTGACTGTGATCATTTTGACTTCATGTGAGTAGCATTTCATTTGAATTTAAACTGCTATATTCAGCAGGTAATTCCTCTATATTAATTTTGACACTTTGTTTGCCCGTTTAAGTAATCATCTAACTATTAAAAAATATACTAAAAAAAATTAAAAAACAAGTGAACTGTGAAAATATATGTAATATAGAAATATTATTATTGTTATTCAAAAGTAATTATTTTATTATGTATACTACATGGTAATTATTTACAGTAATGTTAAATAATGAAAAATCTAATATTAACTATAATACATTAACATAACTATTATTATTTTTGAAAATTTTTTGTGTTAAGCAATTACTCTCAAACACAAAAATAATGCATTTTATCACTTGATCAAGATTTTTCAAAAATTTTCTTTTTAAACATGTGTTTTTCATGGATTTTATCAAAAGTATTTGAACATTTTTTTGGAAATATAATAAAATATGCAAAAGTTTATATCTTAAGTTAAAATCAAACCTGATATTGCTGGCATTGCATAGGTGCGCGTTACCGACTTGACAATAGTTTAAAACGTCCGGGGCAAAGTTAAATTACCAATTTAAGTAACTATACTTATTTTTTTTTTTGAAACAAACAAATTTAATAAAAAAGGTGACTACATCACTGAAGATTACTGATACAAGTGAATTAAAGAAAATTATTAAAAAATAATAGCCAAACATAACAAAAATCAAGCACGACAATAGAAAACTTATAAAGTTTATAACTTTCAAACTGTGTTTTGTTGACAACATTTTTTTAAATATTCTTAATCAGAATGGAAAACTAAATTGATAAAAAAAAAATGTTGAAAAATCTTTGGGTGGTAAAATGCATTTATGCCTAAAAAACAAATTTCTATGTAAAATATATTTTTTTAATGTAATCATATATTATTATGATATATTTTTTATTATAAAAATAGTCACAAATTAAAAGTAATGTTACATAGTAGTAATGTTGCATATTAATGTTAAATGGTCAGTTAATTAAACATTTTTTAAACATATTTAATGTAATATTTTTAAAGCCTACATATTGTAGAATTTTTAATCGCATTAATTTATATTTGAGTTGAAGCATTTATTCTTTTTTATCCAAGGTTATTCCCAAAATATAAAATAATTTTTCAAAATTAACTTTTGATAAATATAATTATATAATTAATATTTTTTTTAATTATTCAGTTTGTTTGAGCTATGAATTAAATAAAAAAAATACAAAATGTAGTATACCATCTGTAATTAGAGGATCATGGTATTCTTGGGAAAATGGACGTAGTACAACAACAGAAATTGATGCAACTAGTATGTCCAAAAGAGGCACATGTATTCGATCAATGGAAGAAAATCATGTAAATTATACCTTTGTTTTCCAAAAAAGCGCTAGTGACTGTTTTACTTGTGTTAAATTTATGGTTCGAACTATTAATGTACTGGATAAAATGGAAAGTATGAATTTATTTTTGTAATATTAACTATTGTGTTGTTGTTAATTTTTTTGCAATATTAAGGTGTGTGTATGACATTGAATCCTAACGAGGATGAATCTCCTGAAAAAATATGTCAGTTTCAAGATACTCAATTAATTACTTTATTTTCTGAAAATTATATACCAATAAATTGTCGATCAAGCCTTGAAGGTGTTTGGCAATTTGCATACCAAGTAAATTTATTCACTATTATTATATTTACTAATTATAATATATAACTTTATTTTAATACATAAATAAAATTTAAAATAAATATAGATTTAAAATTTAATAAACTGTGTCTAATATTTTAAGTCGAATAAAAATAATTTTGTATATTATGGTACATTCAAAATACAAAAAACCATCTATAAGTATTTAATTTATTGTTTTGTACAATTAGTTAATTTTTAAATAATTAACTTACATATTTGTTTAACTATAATAACTATTTCAATTGCTCAATAACTATTATTTTCAACTAAAAATCAATATTTAGCAAGTATGGAAGTAATTGAAATTCATTTAAGAATAATGTTTTTCTTAAATTGATATTTTATTAGCCTAAAATAAAATTTTTATTTTAAAAGTATCTTAAAAATGATCTATAATTTAATTAATATTTTACACTTGCTTAAATTTAAAGAATCGGTTTCGTTTTACTGGAGAATGCAATAATCCTGAAGCACAAATAAAATCTTGTCAAACAGCTGGTACTCAATTTTTAATCACAAATCAAAAATTTAATATAACTTATAAAAAATGCCCTGGAATGACTGGCACATTTGATGGAGGTATAAGAATATACTTCATGTGTTTAATCTCATTGTTAAGTGTTAAATCATCACACAAGTCATTCCTGTTTTATTTTTCAGTTGTTGAGTACAGTTGTTTAGGTGATTGGTTTGTAGATAAGAATCATTTTTTTGCAGTTGCTAATACAAAAGAATCAAGGAAAGATGAAAAATACAGGTGTTTTTTAAAAAATCGTGATGACGATTTATATATTGGTGTCTCTATAACAGCTGAATGTAACACTCTTCAAACAGTTGAAAAGAGTCCTGAAAGATTACATATAAATCCAGGTGCTATATCATTTAATATTTATATTATTTTATAAAAATATTTATCACTTGATGAAATTTATGTTTTAATTTTATAGTGAAAGCTGAAGTTGTAACACCCGGTTGTAGATTACCTCAAAGTTATAGTGGTAACTGGGTTAATACGGCTAATATGGATGCTGATGTATTTGTAAATGAAACTCATATTATAGAAACTTGGTATCCAGATGAAGCTAGATTTAGGCGTACAATATATGTTTGTCGTGAACAAAGAGGATCTAGATTTATGATGGCTAGATTAACTGTTGATGGATGGTAATTATTTTATAATTTGAAGCAAACTATTTTATGTTTATGTAATCATTTATTACTAAAATTACTGATAAACTCTAAATTTAAATTATAGCGTATAATTTTTACCTTTTTTAGGTGTGTCAATGTGTCTTATTAGTATTGCCATTCTTAAACTGTATTTCTTTATTTTTTATTTTGTAGTTTTTATTACAAGTTTATTTTTATTATTTAGCCAAAAAGATTATGTTTGTTTTGACTTTGTACCAAGACATCACAATATAATTCGTTTTCGTAAGGGTCTTGCTTTTATCAAAGATAATTTTCATACTGTATGTTCATGGGTGCAATTTCCAAATAAAGATAACTGGAAATATGATTTTTTTGTTTGTAAGTATTTAATAGTATTGAGATTATAGACACTTTGTATAATATAAATAAAATATAATTTAAAATTTAAAGTCTATTTTAGTTAAATAATTGTTTTAATTTTAAATTATATTTTATTTATGTTTAATTATTTTTAAAAACAAATAAAACATATTTTAAAATAAACATGCTAAATTTATATTACAGCAAAAACTCCTGTGCCTGTAAAATGTCCAGTAGCAGGTAAATTTAGTTTTACTCAAAAAGGAGACTATCCATTTGAAACTCGAATTCTTGGTGGTGTTACATTATCACCCCGTCCACAAATTGGCTGTAAGGATAAGATATCTGATTTTTCTGCTTGTGATAGTGATCAGAAAGAAATCCATATTGATGAAACATTTTGTCTTGATGTTGATCATCGAGGACAGCCAAAAGATATTTATAGTGATCCAGATTACAAACTTCAATGTATCGGCTATTGGAAAGAAAATTTAAAGTCATACTTGATAACATATGATCCATTAGATGCTGCTAGCATGTATAGATGTTGGGTTTACCAACGAGCTGATCTTAATCGTGTTCTTATGTCACAAGCAATAGGATCATATTGTGAACTTAAACAAGATGCATTTAGTTACAATTATACTCAAGGAGCAACTGTTGCCATTGAAATGACAGAATATGAAAGAGAACGTGAGATAAACATAATATTCAAAATAATTATCTAATATTTTATAATTTCATTTCATTTCAGGAGATCAGTGCCCAATGTATTTTGATGATGGTACAAATCCATGGGTACAATCTGACAACTATATTGAAGTATTTAAGTATGGTAGGTCGTCAAATGTAGTGATTTCTACATTTTTAATCTCAATTACTTTATTATTCAGTATTATTTTATAAATAAGATGTTTCTAATAATAAATCATTCATTATTACTATTTTTTATTTAGCAATAATGTTTCAATTACATTGATTATTAGACTTTATTTCATTATTCTTATTTGACTATGAATTAATATTGGTTAATTAATTTACAGTATATAATTTTTTTAAATGACTTTATATTTTTCTACATTACAATGATATAGTTTTATTTTATATTGTAATTGAGTTTTTCTTAAATTTGATTATTTGATTATTAAATTCAGTCTAGGAAAATATCTATAAATAATATGGATAAATTATAAATAATTTTTTTTTTATTGATAAATCTATATAATTATTTTAGCAGTTCTCTATTTATTAAATTTCATCTAATTATCTATTACGTAAGTTAACATTTTATATTAAATGGAACATAGATTTAATTACTTATATGAAATGAATGTTACTAATTGTAATGTATTCCGTCCATTTTGTAATTTTATCCAAATATTTTTGTAAAAAAAAAAAAAATATATTTATATATGTAAAATTATATTTTATTTTTAAACTTATTTAAATCTAAGGTATAATAATATATTCAATTTATAATAAAATTAATTCAATTTTTACTCCTTTATTATGTGCATTATTTGAATTATTAAATCAAACAATGTGAAAATTATTATGTTGTTATTACCTGGATTAAAAATCATAATAATTATTTACAAAAAAAGTTTTAAATTTATTATTTTTCTTTATAATAATGACAAAAATTATTATAATCATTACATGATTATCAGATATTCAAATTAGACACAAACTATCCTGGACATTATCTGCATTATTCTCTAATGCTTCTAAATACGAATCATTTAGATACATTAAAAGAAACAATGGTAAATATTTCTTTAACATAAATAAAACATTAATTTAGAATACTACATCTAAATTAATTAGATTTTTAAATATAGAATTATCATAAACTAATATTATGATAATTCTGTATACAAATATGTATTAAGATAGCTCGGTTAACTTAGGTAAGATATTTTTTCTATTATGAAATAAAAATTAAAATAATAAATCGTAAAACTTTACTCATAATTACTCTTTGGGTTGTATATGAAGGGAAATTTTTAAAACAAAAAGCTCGTGTTAAGTTTTGACTCATTATACATAAAACTAATTTTTAGCTTAGATGCGAAACCGTGAATGTATTAATTTTACTATAATATATTTTATTTTTTTGTGTGTCTGTTACCACTCTGTTTTCTCAGCTCTCACCAAACCGATTCCTTTCAACGATATGTCAAAATATCACATTACCCTTAAAAATTGAAAAAAATTTCCCTCGTTCTCCGTAAATGTGGGAAATTTCTAAAAAAAATACAAATTTAAAAATCACCAATTTTCGACGTTTTAAAAAAAAATTTTACATAAAAATGCCATAACTTTTTGAAAAATAGAGTAATAGAAACTATTTTTTTAATAGATGTTTTAGATATTTACCATCATTTGATATATATTTTTTTTAATTTGACTTTTTCCCTGCCCACAAGGAGGGATTCAAAATGACAACTTTTTCACAAAAAATTAACTTTTGAAAGAGTTCCTAAAATACTAATACTTCTATATATGAAGAGTGAATGTGTCAAACGTTCTATGTGCCAAAAACATATTTGTTCAGAAAACACAAAAAACAATGGTAACATGGGCATGTCTCACATATCGAACACCATCTATGAATGCAATTTTGTACAAGTAAAAAATTTAATTGACATTTGAAACACATACAAGATTGTGGCCTTTGGCACATAGAACATAAATCAGAAATAAAACAATTTTTCACTTTTTTGGCACATAGAACGTTTGACACATTCACTCTTCATATATATTAAATTAAACCTTATGTAATATACTTTAATATGGAAAAGTATGGTGAAAATGACTACCATATTCAAAATTATGCTATTTTCGTGTTATAATTCGATTTTATATTTTATATTATTACTTTAATATTTCTATAACTGTTTGAAAAATGCATGGATCAATACAATTTTTTAGCTTCGATGCGAAGCTGAGAAGGTATTAATTTTACCAAAATGTGTTTTTTTTTTTTTATGTCTTGCCACTTTTTCTCAGCTCTCACTGCACCGATTTCTTTCAACAATAAATCAAAAGATCCCAAATCGTATCTAGTTGAAGATATAACACATATAAGATATTACCCTAAAAATTGAAAAAATTTTCCCTCGTTCCCCGCAAATGGGGGATATCTCCAAAAAAATTACAATTTTGTAATTTTTTTTCTTAAAACTTCCATATTTTTTTCAAAAATCAATATAATTTTTTTTACATTAAAACTTTAGATATTTCCCTTTCATTTGATATCATTTTTTTTTTGAAAATCTAACACTTAACCTGCTCACAGGGGGGGATTTAAAATAGCAACTTTTTTACAAAAACTAACTTTTTTAACTTAACTTTTGAAAATGTTCCGGAAATATTGCGTCCTTTAAACATATATCAAATTAAAAGTTATGTCATGTACTAGAAAATGAAAAAAAAAATTGTCTCGACACCTTATCGTCTATCTATAAATTGCCACTGAAATTAAACAAAAAATGTAATATTTGCAAAAAAAATCAGCTCATCTCGCAATGACAAAAAAATGTAGTTTTTATGTAAAAACCCCCTTTTTTTTATTTTTTTTTTTTTAACGACCGGCATTATTGTGGGCCGCCCTGGAACTGCCGTGAGGCATTACTTCAGGGCGGCCCACGCCGTCTTAATAATTCACACCACCACGTTGTGAATCAGCCCGAAATTAATCAAGAGCTGATTCGCAACGTGGTGTGGCCCCCTCCCGTTAACCGGATCTCAGAGTGGGAACCGTTAGGGAGGACTGCCAAAATAACTCACAAGACATAAAACATTACACAAAAATGAGAACCTAAGGCACTGGCCTAAACCAGCGCCTCAGGTCCTCCTGTACCGGGCGGCATGGCTGCCTCTGTCTCAGACGTTCCGCTTCCTCCTTCTTTAATAAGACGGATTCGGCGAACGCCTGGACGAACCTCCACGCCTCCCGGCTCCTCAACATCAGGTCCACCATGGACCCGTTTCGGAACGTGGACCTTAGTTGAGACTCCAAAGAGTCCCGTTCCTGGTTGAGGGTGTGCAAAGCGCTATCAGCCTCTCCCGGGCGATCCGAACAATGGTCTCATGTCGGCGCGGCTGCTTTACGTATACGGTGCAAGTACTTGTTAAAGCAGCCGTGGCCGGACATCACTTGGGTGAGACGATAAGTCATCTCACCCTTGAGTCCGGTCCACCCACCTGTCCAGCCGATCGGGTCCTATGAGGGACCTGGTCCACTTGCCTCTCGTCGTTTCCTCCGAGAATGTAAAAACCCCTGATTAACATGAAATATTTTAATACTTAAAACTGCCATAACTTTTTCAAAAATTAACAATTCAACATAATTTTTTTTCATTTGAAACCTTAGATATTTTCCTTTCATTTAATATCAATTTTTTAAAAACTAACACTTATCTTGCTCACAGGAGGCGATTTAAAAAAGCAATTTTTGCACACAAGTTGAGCTTTTTCAATTTAATTTTTGAAAATGTTCCTGAAATATTACCACTTTTATTTAATATTAAATTAAAGCTTATATTATATACTTTACTATGAAAAAAAAAAAATCGAAATATATATTTTCTATTTTGTTAAAATGGCTACCGTTTTCATAAATATGCTATTTTTGTGTTCAAATTCTGGGTTTTGTATATCATTTTATTTTAAAATATCTTACAAAGGGAATACAATGACTTTCATGAATATTATATAATTTAATTGATATAGAATAAGACATAAGAAGTTAAACTAAATTAAATTTTTTTGTTTAAAAAAAATGTTGAAATCATTTGATTTTTATATCGTTTAGATTCAATAACTTCAATAAATATGAAGTTATGGTAAAATATATATATTTTTTTACTATAAACATTCACAAAAATCAACTTTAAACGATTAAAAAAATATGTCATTTTCCTTATTTTTAACATATTAATAATCAAAATAAGAATTAATTTAAAACAATTTTTGTTTTTTCTTAATTATTTTTTTTTATTTGTAAATACTAATTTTTTAATAATAAGTAATAATATTAAATTTAGAAGTGATAGAAAACGTTTAATTGAATATTTGAAAACATCGAGATGAGTTGATTTAGAAAAGTGTATTTTGAATTCTGATGAAAGTTCCTTGTAGTCCAGTGTATAAAACTTATAACTTTAATATAAGAAACATACATTTTTTATTGAAAAGTATTTTGTCAAGCTCTTTAAATTTTTATACGCGTTAAAAGTAAAGAAATATACAACTACTTTATTATTATTATAATATCTCCGTTAAAATTATAATATTAAATTATTGAATATCAATTTCATACTAAATTTAATTACAAAATTATTATTTATTCATACATAATAATTATAAATCACATAACTTATCGGGATAAAATTAAGGAAATAAGAGTTATTGTTGTTTTTGAAACAATCTACTTATTTCTTAAAATTAAACACTATTTACAGATTTGCATCGTAGCGTTTCTTATAATAGTGGTTTTAATCACTGTCAGATATTATCTAAACTTATTCTAATTCTGTCATGTCCATACGGTGCCACAACCCCACCGTGCTACTGTTTTTAATTTTCAGTATGACTTTCCACAAAAATAATTTTATTTTAATGTTCCATAACTATGACGAAACTACTGATGCCATAAGAATTCTGAAAACAGTTTTTATTTCAGTATCAAGTCGCTTAAGTATTGTTCAGGTTATTTTTTGAAATTGTAAATCCTTCAACGCAAAAATTTATTTTGAAAAAATGAATATTTTCAAAAATTTAATCTGTAATCAAGGGTCGAATATATAATTTTTTAAAATTATAAATTAAGAGAATAAGAGTTATTGTTGTTTTTGAAATAATCTACCGATTTCTTAAAATTAAACACTATCGTTTCTTATGATAGTAATTTTAATCACTGTCAGATTAAATCTACACTGGACCCAACTATGCCACGTCCCCACTGTGTTGGGTTTTTTATATTAAATAATATTTATATACATCATTCATTTGACATACTATTTTTTTTTAAATCGGACCATTTCCCTTTATATCTCAGCTTTTACTTGACCAACTTTTTTTAACGATACATTAAATAATCATAACTATTATCTAGTTGAAGATATTACCTCAAAATTGAAAAAATATCCCCTTTATCAAATAAAATGTTGCTTAACCAGCTTTCTCCATACAGACAATTAAAATCATTCATTTCTAATATTTTTAAAGTACTTATTATCGAATTAGGTTTGATATAATAATAAGTTTCAAATACAAAATTAAATGTATTTTCTTTGTGATTTATTAATTTTAGCTTCGATGAGAAGCTGAGAAGGTATTGGTTTTACTATGATGTTTTTTTTTTGTGTGTGTCTGTTACCACTTTTTCTCAGCTCTCACCGAACGGATTTCTTTCAACGATACGTCAAAAGATCACAAATCGTATCTAGTCGAAGATATTACCCTCAAAAAATGAAAAAATTTCCCTCGTTCCCCGTAAATGGTGAAATCTCCCAAAAAATTGCAAATTGAATAAATCACTAATTTTCGACATTTTTCAATTTTTTTAACTTAAAACTGCCATAACTAATTTGTTGAAAATAAACAAATCAATATAATTTTATAGATGCATGATGTCTTTACCTTTCATTTAATATATTTTTTTTTATAAATCTGACCCTTTACCTGCCTGCCTACAGGAGAGGATTCAAAATGACAACTTTTTCACAAAAAATTTACCTTTTCAACTTAACTTTTGAAAGTGTTCCAGAAATACTGACACTATTATATACATCTTAAATTAAAGCTTATACTTTACTATAAACAAAAAAATTTCGTACTTTATTTTGTCTTCACGATGAAAACAAATATGAAAGTTAATAAAAAATTACGATTTTTTTAAAAAAATTCTTTTTGATATTTATAACTTTATAATGTTATAACTTTGTGAAAAAAGCATGGATCAATACAATTTTTTTATCTTAAATACTATTTATATACCTTTTTCATTCGACATTAATAGGACCCTTTATGTGATTTTTGTCACTGTCAGATATCATCTCTACTGAACCCAACTTTGCCATGTCCCCACTGTTCTGGTTTTTTTAATTTTATCGAAGCAAGTTGTATAAAATTGTTTTTAAAATAATAGCTTTATGTTTTTGTATTCATGTATATTCTAAATTTTTCTTTTTAATTAGTTGAATATATAAAAAATTTAAACGCGTAACAGCACAAAAAATGTAAAATCTATTGAAAACATAATTTCACAGTGTGATTTCAAAAGACGTATCGTATAGCTGTTATCCAGTAACTAGTTAACGAATATACATAATTTATTTTAGATAATTTTAAATTGACTTTAAAAACATTTTAATAAATAATTGAACATTGATACTTTGAAAGTAAACAGCTAAATACTATAATTCATTTTACGAAAAGTGTAAACAAATTAAATTTAATATTAATACGATTGTACAACAAGAATTTTTAATTCTAGTGTATGATTCACGTGAATAATAATTAATAGCTGTAACAAATATTTATTTTACTTGTGTTATATAATGTCGTAAACAAAAAACTTTTTTTATAAACGAATGCTGAAATATATCAAAAATGTACGGACAAAATAGTTATTTAAAACATATTTCAAAATAACTTGATTTTTTATACAGACCGAAAGTGCAAAATAAAAAAAACATATTTTTGGTTACTACAAATATTTTTTGAATCTCAAATTTTATAATTAAATAGTATTTTTGCTGATTAATTTTTTGTGTACATTTTTTTCTTTAAAGTTATTTTCATGATTTTTTGTAAGTATTCTTGTTTTTCAGATAACGACTAAAACTCTTTCGAGAGATGAATTATCAACTTATTTCAGAAACTTTTTAAAAATGTATGTTAAATTGATTATACAAGAAAATTTTCTTTTAATAATTTTCTAAAAATAGTTTTTTAATTATTTCTACATAGATTATAGATTATTACTTACTTTACCAAAACATAAGACTAATTTCAATTTTATGTCAAATAATCCATTTACTATTTTTTTTAATAATACATAACGCAGACTTTGATAAATAATTAATGTTTCGCCGATTTTAGCTTCAATGCGAAGTTGAGAGGGTATTAGTTTTACTTTGATGTGTTTTTATATATTACATAAATAAAAGTTTAAATATTTATTTAATTATTTTATCAATTGTATAATTTAAGAACAGTCAGTTTGATTAGGGATTAATAAAATAAAAAAGGTAAGAATTTTGTTATATACTTATTTGTTTTATTCATATAGATATCAATTTATAAAATGAATAGTGAAGAGGAAAAAAATTATATAATAAACTATCATTTCTTGAAGATATTCAAAATGTATCACGTTTTTTACCCTATGGATAAACCTGGATTGAAAATTGGAAAATACAACATTAACTACCATACATTTTACCCTTTTTTTGTACTATTAGAGTTAAATGTTATGGCTGGTTGCTTAATAGGATTTTATTATGTAATCAACGATTTATACGCCTTCGTTCAATTGGTACTTTCTTTATTTACTAGTTTTATAACTGTTTGCAAAGCAATCAGATTCGCTCAAAAATACGATGAATTCTGGAAATTATTTGACGTGATGAAAGTAAATTTTTTATCATACAGTTATTATAGAAAAGATATACTCAGAAATTATAGGAAAAAATGTGTAGTGGTGGCAAATATTTACGCCTTTATTTGGATAACATCTTGTATTTTTTGGATAGCTAATCCATTTATTATTAAAGAATACCCCGTGAAGAATCGCGAAGGCAATATTGCAGTTTATCGAAACAACCCATTAAATATATTTTTAGCTTATGTTTCTTATGAACATTATCAAGACTTTTATTGGATAATTTATATAATTGAAACAATTATTGTAGTACAAGTTATTGTCGACGTTATCCTTCATGACAGTATTGTGATTCTACTATGCTGGATGTTGTCTGCACAATTAGAGACTATTGCTGCTAAATATGAAACTTTTGGACATAAAAAAATAAATAAAGGTAATGACTTATACAAAATGATTAATTACTGCTGTATGTCGGTAGTATCCCGACGTAGACACAAAAGTAGTACACAAATTAACTAATATTTTTGACGACGAGTATGTCGTTTTTAGCTCTTCTCGAGTCCTCCCGTTGGATACGCTGGTCAGCCCCAATCCCTCCAATTGTTGAACTACTAAAGGGGTAGAGTTTAGACCCGTCAGCACGGTCTAGCTCAAAATTAGCAGACTGTAGGGTGGCTCCTTGTCAGACATCAGCACAGCTACTTTATCACTATACCTACTAACGGACCGTTAAGCCCAAAAACTAGCCAGCGCGCACACTAATTGTTATGATCGACCAAAGAACCAGTAGTCCTACCTCGACTCTTGCTGCACACACGCAATTTTTAATAACACGACGGATATAAAGTCTTTACTCTCAAGTAAAGATTTTTAATTAATTATTTTATTTGTGAAACGTAAAAACACAAAGACAAAATGTAATATAAAAATGTAACACAAAATTAATTAAGTCGTACAAAATACAAAGTTACTCGCACACAAACGTCCTGATCCGTAGCTCGACGTTTCTTCGTCAAAACGTCAAGTTCCCCTATAATTTTCATGTTTCCCTTTATATATTCTTTATCCCACTATTATTAATTTGCTTATCCTGCATTTTCCTTTTATATGACATTATTCTGTTCCTTAAGAATTCAAAAAATGCTTACTACTGATGTAAACCTTATATTATACTAAAATCGACATGATTGAATACTTCTTCAGCTATTTACTACATTACTTTAATTTCAAAGAAGTATAATTCAATTTTTCAGTTAAAACTAAGAAAAATTAGCTGAAAAGCTTTTTAATTGTTTTAATACAATTCTGTGGTACTTGGGTAAAAGGGCGTAAGTACAAAAATTGCATAAATAAAGTTAAATACATCATATTATTTAAAAAGAAACGCTTTTTTTGTGGTACAAATGGCTATGAAATTTTTAAAGGTCTTTAATCCGAGCACTCCAGAATTATAATTTATATTTATCTCATCAATATATACCGTATTTGAATAGAACACTTTTTGAAATCTTTGTATCAAATCTAAAAATTATTTTATATTTTATTTAATATATAAAATAAATCACTCGACCCAGACGAATCATGCCCAAAAATTTTAAATATTCAAATTGTGCATTATAAAATTTATTATATTTTAGCTTTGATTCAATTAATTTTACTATGATGTATTTTTTTTTTTTGTGTCTATTACCACTTTTTCTCAGCTCTCACCGAACGGATTTCTTTCAACGATACGTCAAAAGATCACAAATCGTATCTAGTCGAAGACATTACCCTTAAAAATTGAAAAAATTTTCCTCGTTCCCCGTAAATGGGGGAAACCTCCGAAAAAATTACAAATTTAAAAATCGCTAATTTTCGAAATTTTTTCAATTTTTTTTACTAAAAACTGCCGTAACTTTTTAAAAATAACCAAATCAATATTATTATGTTTTTTATAGATGCATGATGTCTTTACCTTTCATTTAATATATTTTTTTTATAAATTTGACCCTTTATCTGCTCACAGGGGGGGATTTAAAATGATAACTTTTTCAACTTAACTTTTGAAAGTGTTCCGGAAGGTCTGACACTTATATATATATCTTAAATTAAAGATAATGTAATATACTTTAATTTGAAAAAAAAAATTTGATCTCTGGACTTGTCTTCATGGTGAAAATGGCTACCGAATGCTATTTTTGTGTGAATAGTCTCCATTTTATTTTTTACATTTTTAGCTTTATAATGACATGATGCTATTGATAAGTGTATGGATCAACACAATTTTTTTATGAGAAATAATATTTTTTAATAATCCTCTATTCATTCGACATACTTTATCTTAATCAGGATATTAATAAAGAACTAGCAGATCATGTAGCTTTTGGAATAATCCACCAATTTCTTAAAATTAAACAGTATCTAAAGATTTGCATCGAAGCGTTTTTTTTTGATAGTGATTTTAATCACTGTCAGATATCATTATACTTGATCCAACTATGCCGCGAATCCCCTGTGCTGGGTTTTTTAAAATTAAAACTGCCATAACTCTTTTTAAAAAATAACCAAATCAATATAATTTTTTTTTATAGATCCATAATGTCTTTACTTTTTATTTATTATATTTTTTTATAAATTTGACCCTTTACCTGCACACAGGGGGGGATTTAAAATGACAACTTTTTCACAAAAATTTAACTTTTTCAACTTAACTTTTGAAAGTGTTCCGGAAATACTGACACTTTTATATATATATTAAATTAAAGCTAATGTAATATACTTTATTATGAAAAAAAAATGTTGGGCTTTAATTTGATTTTACGGTGAAAATGGATATCAAAGTTGTTAAAAATATACGATTCTTATAAAAAATTACAATATTAAATTATTAAATATTATGTTTAATTGCTATAATAAATTTTTATTCATATATTATACTTATTATAAATCATAAATCAGGATATAAATAAGGAAATAACAGATCATGTTGCTTTTGGAATAATCCTATAATTTTTAAAATTAAACACTCTCTACAAATTTACATCTAAACGTTTTTTATGATAGTAATTTTAATCATTGTCAGATATCATCTATACTGGACCCAATTATACTAGGTCCCCACTCTGTTAGGTTTTTTGCATAGTATTCCTGAAGATGTTATAAAATAAAAATACTTAAAAAATTAATTTTTACATTAAAATGTTGGCATTTAAAATAAATGCACATCTCTCAAAATCCTTGAGTATTGAAGACTATATCACTTGCATGATTTGGATTTATAAATTATTTATGTAGATTAAAGAAGAAATTAAATCTTATATTCCTGTTTTTTTTTTTATGTATAGAAGAAGATGAAGAAATATTTTCTGTTGAAAATTTAGAACTTATAATTGCAGACCATATTAAAGTGATTTCGTAAGTTCAATTAAATTCAACTTTATACTTAAGTCCTTCATAATATAAGGATATAATCTATTTTAAATTTTTAGAAATTATAACTTTAGATAATTCGTTAGTAACCAAGATAGATCAAGCTGGGGACCAATAATTTATTTGATTAATAAGTATTTAATGTTAATACATTATAAAGAAAATGTTGTAAAAACTGTGATGCACAAACTATACAAACAAAATGTTGAATTGAATTTAATATATTCAAATTAATCCTTGAATGTTTAAAATCTACTTTTCATTTTTACGAGAACATTTGAAAGAAAAGACTTTGAGAGAATATATTTTTAGAATTTTCAATTTCAGAATTAACACAGTCTATAAAACTAAAAAGCTTAACATAATATTAAAAAGACTAAGTCTTTAAACATCAGTATAAAATATGTAAAAGTTGTATCGATGAAGTACAAAATAGAAAGCTAAATTGTTTTTGAGCACTTGTAACCATTTATTTCGGGCTAACCTATAATTCAATAAAAAAACGTTTTCGTGGTTATTTTACCGATTTAATGATTAATTCTTAAATTTTAAAATATACTATAAAAGCATGTGTAACGTCACAAATTCGAAGGTGGACCGTTTATGATTTTTTGTTATGTCTACTTATTTGTTTTATCGCGCGAAAGAACCTTTTTCTGACACAGCGGTGTCAACCACTCATTATTTTACCGCTGACCGCTAGATAAGGCGATAAAAGAAAAATATAATTAAAATCGAATTGTTTATCGTATTGATCCCTTCCGAAAAGACTGGCCGTTATCGTTTTGAAATTGCCGTTAGATCGGTGTTGACTCTTCTCTATTCTTTCTTCTGTCATTGACCGTGCTAGGGTGCACACATTTGTTGTTTTATTGACACTCTTTTTTCAATGATGGAGTAGAGCCGTCAACGGCGAACGGCCAGGTCTTTTCGGCGAAGCATCCAGACCATCGGATGGGTCTCTTCGGAGACCGGGTATCGTTTTCTTTTTTATATTATATTTATGTAATGAGCTATATTTTATTAATTATTTTATTTCATTTTACTTTATTGTAAATTAACTTAATTTTGTGTATGTGTGGAGAGCACGTGTTTCCCTTTTCTTCTAGCCAACGCTAAGGAGCGAGTGTCCAGACCGCTCCTGGTGTTCTTCATTAATTTCCTGTTAACATTAACGGATGTGTTCCAATACCGTCCGTGATGTTTGTAATATTATTTGTTTAAATATTTTATTTTATTTGTATTGCCTTTATTTGTAGACATGGTTTTTGATGCATTCGCATTTTTGTCCATGTTTAACTTAATTTTCTTTTTTTAACAATTAAATTAAATTTCCTTATTAATTTCAATTGTAATATTTATTTTATTGCGCGAGTAACTTAATTACTCGCGTGTATTTCATTCCTATTCCTTAATCTAGACACGGGCTACGGTATGTTTTACATATCAACCACATACAACTTTGATTGTCATAATTGTGTTCTATAAACCACGAGGCATTATAGTAATTTATACATATAACGACATATTAACTTAGATTATACTTTTAATTAACTTAAAATTAAATTCCACCTATGGTCCGGTAATCATATCTGATAGGTGTGACACCTCGCCTAGGTGGTGGCGACCCTTGCTACTCTAGCTAGTCGTTATGCAAGTGGCAAACCACGTTGTTGTTACAGGCCAATATATAAAAGTCCGCTTGCACATGTTTTTATACTATCCGTAGTAAATTAAAAAAACATAAACTTAAAAATTAATATTTTTCAGTAGTTAAATTTTACCTTTAAAAGAGATTGATTATTGGTAAGATTATTGGTTATAACCAATAATAACATTTTAGTAAATTTTATATTAAAATTTATAAACTAAGTATTATATTATTATCTTATATATTAAATATAAGATATACCACGTAAATTCTACGTGATATTCATAGTTGTAAAATTAAAACCATCTCACTGTTTGTTGCATAAGAATTATTATGATTAGTATTATTCAATTCAATGGTCATAATCCATTTAAAACGTATCTAGAGAAAAATAATTAATTAATAAAACCCCTTCCCTGCAATTCATTCTTAAAGCTGTCAATAGTTATGAAGATAGGTTTACAACAGGCACGCATTCAGAAGTTGTCCATGATATTTAAACGTCATTCTTTTTTGAAAATTTTCAAAATTACATTGAATATGCATAAAATTGTATTAATATATTCATTAATTTTACGACTCGTAAATTATTAAAATAAGCTAGATAGTATGAAGTAGAAATCGAAAATATTTTGTTAAGACCCCACACGAAATAAAGTCCTGCTGAAAGCCTAGTTTGCAACTTGTGAAAATTTTATATGTACGAAAAAATTGTTATTTTTTACTTAGTTATACAGTTTTAAATAAAATGTTTTTGATTATTAATTTATTCGATGTATGAAGTTTTTATTTATTTAATTATTTATTAATCAGACTCTGAATTAATATTTGTTTACATACACTTGTGTAGGAAAGTTAAAGAGTTGTACGAGCTCATAAAACCACTAACAATAATTCAATTAGGAATCATGTCTATTATTTTTAATGCATTAACGTACATGTGTGTTTTGGTAAGAAATTTAATACTAATAATTTACTACTTTTGAATTAAGTTATAACTATTAAATATACTAGTATTTTATCACTGTAATATTAAATAATTAACAGTCATAAGTTGTAGATAATTATTTAAAGTATTAAAATCAAATATGAGTTATAGTAAAGTATTATAAAAAAATGTGTGTTAGATGTTTTTCAGTGAAAATATGTTTATATCTGTGATTTCTCTTAAACTGTTTCTAACTGCAATTGGTGTTATGATGAATTTATTTATCTCAGGATATTTCTACGGATATCTGGAAACTCAGGTACTAATAATTTTGATTATACAGTATAGAATTATAAATATATTTATTATAATACGATTACATAATGGATAACAAAATTAAAATTTAATAATAACTTCTCCAAGTTGAAATTGAGGAGAGATCATAATAATCGGACGTCAGGATTTATAGGCCTCATAATTCTTTGTTTAACACAGCATAAAATATTAAGCTTGAATAACGCCTATGATTTATATGTTTCATATCATTTTAGATCTTAGACCTCCAATGTATCTTAATCTAGACTTAAAAGTTCTCATTAGTCTATTCAAGATCATTTTTTCAAAATTCCTATAACTGTGACAAAATTTGTTTTTGATAAAGATTTTAACTAAACACGTAACTAAAAAAAATATTTTTTCAAATGTGATATATGATTTTAAAAAAAGTCTACATGAATATTTTATGCTATTTTATTAGGAATTGACTTTTAAATTTCTCCTAAATTAAAAGTAATTTCGAAAAAAAAATTTGATTTTAGTATTATTATTTTTTTATTAGTATGTGGTTGAATAATTCGAAACTTCTATCTATTGGATAATAGCAACATTTACATTTAACTACTTTATACTTAAAAAATGACTGGTCAATAAAAACTTTTCAACTAGTATAAGGGAGAAAAAATGATACAAAGTAAGAATAGGTAAGTGGAATGTTGAAATATTAACTGGCAAAAGTAGACAATTAGTAAAAGTATTAAAGAGTAGAAAAGTTAACGTTTTTTGTGTACAGGAAATAAAATGTAAGAAGAGAAAGCAAAGAAAATAGATGAAGGTTATAAAATAATATACTCAGGTAATACAAAGAATGGTGTATGGATTATAATAGATATGGAGATTAAAGTAAAGTAGTTGAAGTTGTTAGGAATAGTGACAGAACTTTAGTCGTAAAATTAATTTTAGAGGAAAAAATGTTGAATGTAATAAGTGCCTATGTTACACAAGTAGAATGTGATGCAATGAGGATATGAAAGAGTACATGGAGAGAATGGTTTTAGTGGGAAGAATGAAGCTGGAAAAAGAATCCTGAATTTCGCAGTATCGTATGATTGTGCTGCGGTTAATACTTATTTTAAAATATTATAAAACAATATATAACTTATAAGAGTGGGTGTAATAGATCAAAGATTGATTATTTTATGTCGAATAGAGAGAGCGTAAAGAGAATAAAATACTGTAAAGTTGTCCCAGGCGTGAATGTAACTTCACAACATAAACTGATGGTAATGGAGTTGTGGTGTAGTGGGAAGAGTGAATACAAAAACAAAAAGAACACAGAAAGAGAATCTTTGATCCGGTTGTGGATATTAAAAGGGAAAAAAGAAAAAGAGATTTTAAAAATGGTAAAATAGAAGATATTCTGGAATGTCCAATGACACATAAATGATGTGTAAAATAGATTTGCTAGTTGTGTAAAGAATACTGCAAATGAGATTGTTGGTGAGAGTAGAAGTAGAATACCAGGAAATAAGAAAATCAGTTGGTGGGATGAAAAAAGATGGAAAGAGTATATTGAAAAATAACAAAATGAGGAGTATCCAAAGAGATATTAGAGGATATCTTATGAAACGAAGGACTGGTAGATTTAATTAGTAAGAAAGAGATTTGGAAGGTTGTGGCATCAATGAAAATGACAAAAGATGTGGGATCAGATGAAGTACGGAAAATTTTAGGCAATGTTGACTTAAGGCGGTTGACGAATCTGTTTAATAAAATATTATTAGAATTGAAAAAGCCAAAAGAATGGACTATTAGTATTGTGGTGCCGATACTTAAAGATAAATGAGACATACAGGAGTGTGGAAATTATAAAGGCATAAAGCTAATGAGTCATAGTATGAAAATTTGGGATAAGGTAATAGATAATAGAATAAGAAATGAGACATTGGTATCTGAAAACCAGTTTGGATTTATGCCTTGTAAGTCAACAATGGAGCCAGTAATTTTTGTAAGACAGCAGATAATAGAAAAGTATTGAGATAAGAAAAATAAACTGTGCATGGTATTTATAGATTTGGAGAAAAAGTATGATAGAGTAATGAGAAAGATTTTACAAAGGGCATTAATGAAAAAGGTACATTAATATAGTAGAGGATATGTATGAGGTGTTAGAGGTCAGCTCTTAAAGAAAAGGGTTTAACAATAAGTAGGGTTAAGACAGAGTATACAGAGTACGAATTTGTCTAAGGAGAACACGAGGTAAGTCAAATGAAATGATCAGTGACAATAAGAGAGGACATGATAGAAGAGGTGGAGAGTTTTTAGTATTTAAGGTCAGTTGTGCAAAAGAGTGGTAGTTTTAACAAATATGTAAGACACAGGATCAAATATGGGTGATTGAAATGGAGAAAAGCGTCTGGTGTCTTATGCGATAAAAGAATTCCAATGAGGCTAAAAGGTAAATTATATAAGACTATAGTGAGACCATCTATGATGTATAGTTCAGTGTTGGGCGGTTGACAAGAATGTAGAGCAGAGAATGAGTGTAGCAGAGATGAGAATTCTTACATGTATGAGTGGGGTGACAGTAGATAAAATAAATAATGAACATATAAAAGGCAGTATAGGTCTAGTGTCAATCGTGGGTAAGATAAGAGAAAATAGACTGGTTGGTCATGTTTTGAAGAGAGAGTAATCAGAAGCTATGAGAGCAAATCTGGAAATGAATTTTAAGGCCAGAAGAGGTAAAAGAAGACCAAAAAACGAAATGGGTGTGTAGATGATGTGGGAGATCGTGTCACACGGAAATTTATGATAAGGGTAGCCGACCCTAAGTAATTGGCATAAAGGTGAAGAAAAGAAAAAGTAGGTGAAATAACTTTCTAAAATGAAATATTAAGTATGTAATAACTGAATAAAAAACAAATAAAATATTTTATATTATAAACTTTTTATATTTATAATTCTAATGCAAAATTTGCACAACAATGTTAAGTTATATTTTATATTCATATTTTATGAAAATATAGAAAGACGCCATGATTTTTGCTATGTACAGTTGTAATTGGACAGTTAAAGACATAAAATTCAAAAAGATGTTATTACATGCTATAAAAATGAATAATGGAAATAATTTATCTATGAAAGTGACACCAACAAAATTAGTGAACATAGAGATGTTTTCTAGGGTAGGTTTTTTTTTAAATAAAAATTACTCTATTAATATCAGTTTTTTCATTTTAGGTTATGAACACATCTTATTCAATAATTTCGCTTTTGATAAAAATGAAACTTCAAGAGCAGTCCAATTAGACTTATTTTTCTCATAATATAGTTAATAATAATATACATTAATACAGTGTATCTAGTCTTAATTAGATTAAAACTACTTATAATCTATTGATATGAATTTTTTTCCGTTAACATATTACAATGTTTTATAAACATCTATTTAAATTCTGATGGGATGTTATAATTATATCTTCAAAGGGAGCAGATTTATATAAACATTTTCCTTGCACTCTCCAATCTGAAAAATATTCATGTTTAATACTCAATTCAATACAAAGTTTGAATCAGATCATTTTATTTAATTGGACACTTTAATATACAGCTTGTATTCTTTTAAGTAAATGCAATATGTTTTCATATTTTTTATAGGCTGGGGGAGTTATATATCATTGATATCATATCAAACGTGTTAAAAATTGTAAAAAATGACTAAGTGAAGAAAGCATGCAAAAACACCACATAATATCCTTTTACATTTATGATTCAAATATCGATTTGATAAAATCAATATTTAAAAACAAAACCCAGCACAGGGGGGTCGTGGCACAGTGGTGACGTGGTATAGATGGATCAAGTATAAAGATATCTGACAGTGATTAAAATCACTATAAAAAAAAAAACGCTTCGATGCAAATCTTTATAGTGTTTAATTTTAAAAAATTGGTGGATTATTTGGAAAATTGAGAATTTTCACACAATAATAGCATTTGGTAGCCATTTTCATCGTGAAGACAAAATAAAGTCCGAAATTTTTTTTTTACATAATAAAGTAGATTACATTAGCTTTAATTTAATATATATAAAAAAGTGTCAGACTTTCCGGAACACTTTCAAAATTTAAGTTGAAAAAGTAAATTTTTTGTGAAAAAGTTGTCATTTTGAATCCCCCCCTGTAGGCAGGTAAAAAGTCAGATTTATAAAAAAAATATACCAAATGATAGGTAAAAACATCATGCATCTACAAAAAAAAAAATTATATTGATCCATACATTTTTCAAAAAGTTATAACATTATAAAGTTAAAAATATAAAAAAGAATTTTTTTACAAAAATTGTATTTTTTTTATTAAGTTTAATGTCTGTTTTCACCATGAAGATAAAATAAAGTCCGAAATTTTTTTTTACCATTATAAAGTATATTACATTAGCTTTAATTTAAGATATATATAAAAGTGTCAGACCTTCCGGAACACTTTCAAAAGTTACGTTGAAAAAGTTCTACTTTCTATATGCATTTTTATGTTTTGAATCCCCCCTGTATTTAGGGAAATGGTCCGATTTAAAAAAACAGTATGTCGAATGAAAGATCTATATAAATACTACTTCTCATAAAAAAATTGTAATGATTCATACATTTTTCAAAAAGTTATAGCATAATAAAGTTAAAAATGGAAAATACAAAATCGAAAATTTTCACACAAAAATAGCATTCGGTAGCCATTTTCACCATGAAGATAAGATAAAGTCCGAAATTTTTTTTTTTCATGATAAAGTATATTACATTAGCTTTAATTTAAGATATATATAAAAGTGTCAGACCTTCCGGAACATTTTCAAAATTTAAGTTAAAAAAATTAATTTTTTGTGAAAAAGTTGTCATTTTAAATCCCCCCTTGTGGGCAGGTTAAGGGTTAAATTTATGAAAAAAATATACCAAATGAAAGGTAATGATATTATGCATCTATATAAAAAAAAAATTATATTGATATGTTCATTTTTGAAAAAGTTATGGCACTTTTAAGTAAAAAAAATTGAAAAAATATCGAAAATTAGCGATTTTTAAATTTGTAATTTTTTTGGAGGTTTCCCCCATTTATGGGGAACGAGGGAATTTTTTTCAATTTTTAAGATACGATTAGATACGATTTGTGATCTTTTGACGTATCATTGAAAGAAATCGGTTCGGTGAGAGCTGGAAAAAAGTGGTAACAGACACAAAAAAAAAACACATCTTAGTAAAACCAATACCTTCTCAGCTTCGCATCGAAGCTAAAAGTTATTTTATAAATTAGAAAAAGAACTAATTATTGATCAAATATTTTTGGTCGTATTTATGAAATAAAACTAAAACAAAAAATAAAATAATCAATTTGATTAATCAAAAAAGAAGATTTTCTTAAGAAATTAAGGAATTTTTTAATTCAAAATTATAAGTTTTACTGTTAATTAAAAGTTTTTTAAAACTTTTATATATAAACTTAATTATACAAATAAAATTGGGTGGTATGTGCTGTACCTTTTACGTGATCCCTCCTGTCTAGTAGTGTTAATAATATTTGAAGTTCACTGCGTCTTTTCGCAATCTCGCTCAACCATGTCAACAACACAAAACCAGGCGGCCGAGTATCGAAAGAACTCCCGGCTTAATTGGTGTAAACAGTCCTTTTTAAGGTTATCCCTATGACAATCATGATTTCCATGAGTTCCGAAAAATAAAAACAAAAAAATATATAAGAGAATTTCAAAACCAAAAAAGTACCAAGACAATAGCAAACTAAGTAACACTGTATGCAAGGTAGGCACAGATAACAACATAAAGGTAGTATAAAGTGACGTGGAAGGTTTAACTAGATCTAAATCTGACACAATATACAAGCTTTTTCATGATGCAGACGTTTTAGCTTTTCAAGGGACCCGTGTATGAAGGGGAAACAAACCAATTGCGAATCGACGGATTCCAAATAGTGAACTACGTTGGTTATAGGAGGCATGTAATGGCAACAAGAAGAAGATAACCTCACTTAACGCTGAAATTGTCGAAGGAATTGAACACACGTTTGGTATTTATTTTAAAGAATTGACCATATACAATGTATACAAATCTCCATCGTGCAATCACATAAGTTTCAAGTTGAAAAACTTTTATTTTTTATACGTATATGTTTTAAGTTGAACTCTTCTGTATAAGGGGAAATTATTTGATATCTAAAAAAAGTAGATCGGAAAAATTATTTTGGATGAAATGTTTATAAAAAAAAATGTCTAATGCATATATTTTTAAAATAATAATGGCGATTTATTGGCACATATAATATTAAAAAAGTAATTTTTTATTATGAAAATCAATCAATAAAATAATATAAATCTAATACAAAATAAATCAATGAATGAAAATATATAATAAATAAAAATATTTACAAAAAAATACCCGGAGAGCACCAAAAATGTAAATAAAAAGTCTATACTTGTCTGAATTTATCATTAAAGATAAAAGGGTCATCCTGCAGTTATAGCTGAGGCAAAATATAAGAGTTATTACGTATATAAGATTAAGTAAAATTAAAACTATATTAAACGCTAAACACACACATACAACACATAGTATGTGTTTAGCGTTGATAATGGTAACATTGTTTCCGAAATACGTATCCACGACTTTTCATTAATTTTTTGTGGCTTTGATTTTCATATTTTTTAATTTTTTAAATTAATAATATTTTTAATATAGTTTTAATTTTACTTAATTAATAGGCACAAGTGATCAATTTTTATTATTTATAAGATTGTTCGTAATCATTAATTACTGGAAGTCAAAATCTAGAGCAGTATACATTAATGTCGAGATTAGTAATTGTCTATATCAGTTGAATCGTAAAATTTGACCGTAATGAGTATTCATTATGTTTTCTTTTTTGACTGAAGAGTTTTATACTAGTATGTCTGCTTTTTGATATCATATTATTGAATCTACCAAAAAATGTAGTGATGGAATCCAGTTCTACAATGATATAGTTATTCTGTATTTCTAAGTTGTTATTAAAATATTTTCCTATTTTGAATAACTAAAAATGAATTGAAAAATATTAACTGATGTTATATGTATTGTGTATAAAATAGAAACTTACTTCATTTCGATCAGTACTTTTAGGTATGTGTAGTGCTACGTTGGGAGAAATATTTCGGACCAATTCGATGATTGGATTCGACCTTCGTATTCACTACACATATTTTTCTCCAAACTGTATGTTTTATGGTTTTTGTACGACGGTCCTCCCCATGGAGGCGAAGTTATAACGACTTCAGCTTTATATTCCTTAAGATCTTTAGCTAAAGTGAAAAAATCACCCTCGATGAATTCGATCTTATTCCTCACACTATAAATTTACGCATTTTTCTTTGCAAATTCCAATTTGTTCGGGTCAATGTCTATCGCAACCACTTTTTTATACTTCATTGCTAACTGAATTACGTTACCTCCGTCGCCACAAAACGGATCCATCGCTACATTGTAACCCTTACACCTCTTAGCAATAAGCTTGCTCAAAATTTCAGGGCACATGGAATTAAAACGATTCTAAAATAATAGTTAATATTAAAAATAATTAAAGATTAATAAAGAGTATTAATTAAATAACCATAGTCCAAGAGAATGCCGTCATCAAATTTTTCAAACAAGAAGTATCTTTTATTCCATAAGTGCTTTGGAATATTATGAGAGGTAGTTTTATTGGAGCTATTACTGTCCAAGTTATGTTTAATTTGAGAAATTTTACTAGTAAATGACGAATCTTGTGTATATGATTGAATTGATTCAGTCGAGTGACTTATTTGAGTCGAAATGTTGTTCTCGCACACCTCTGTAGCGTTTTGGAGCTGGCAGAGGGTCACATAGTCAGTAAAGTCTTTGTTCGGTAGGTGGGGGTGTGATATATTCAAAGAAGCACTGTTAAGGTTAGTTTCAATGGAATTGTCGGGTGTATTATTATCAATGATATTTTCTTCTGTTTCAAAAGTCGTAATTTGTGTGGATCCCTGTAAACTTTTAATCTGATAAAATATTTGTCAAAATAGTTGTAGCATTGGTGTCTGTTGTCGAAATTGATGTACTAATTGGTTTAGCTTTTGACTTCATCAGGGCCGTATTTAGGGGGTGGCACGGGTAGGCATATGCCCGGGGGCGGCAAAATATTTTAGCAAAATTAATTTTAAAAATGTAATAAAAAAAATAAATAATTGCATTTCATTTAATATTTTTTTAATTTGTATTTTAGAAAAATGACATAATTGAAGAATTTGCCAATAATCAAGCAAGAAAAAAAATACTTAAAAAAAAGAAAGTTATAATTTGTTAATTAAAAAAAGTATTAAATAATTCTCATTTATTAATTATTAAGTTGGATTTTAATATTAAAGCATCAATTATGAACGAAATAATTAGTGTTATATTATTATTATTATTTATTATTGTGGAGATGAGGAGGGGGTATAAATTATATGCCCGAGGGCGCCAAATTTTTTAATACGGGTCTGGACTTCATAGTTTTGTTCTACTTAGAAAGTTCATCGTCCAAAAATATAAGAAATATTAAAACTAAAGTAACACTAAAAGCGAGATCTTGAATAATTGAAATAGGAATAAAAAAATAAGGAAACACCATAGACGAAAAAATAGGAAAAGTGTCCATTATGTCAATGAAATTTACTCAATAAAAAAAATAAAAGTAAAAAATATAAATTTTAACAATATGGAAAATTTAACAGAAACTTCTAAATTGGTTGTCTTCCACAAGAGCTTCTATGTTCTTTGTTCGCTGGTTAAACTAAAAGTTCCAATGAATTTTTAGTTTACTAGATCTTTTATACTAATTTTTTTCCGATTTTTTAGCAAACGACAAATATTGTTGCTAAATCAATTTTTTTCATTAATTTAAAGATATATATGTTATTTCACGACCACCATAGATTTTTTTCAGCCAATATCTATTTTACATTCATCGTATTATACATGTAGTGTACGTCAGAATAAAAAGCAATTGTAACATAGTGATCGAATAATTTATATCGAAAGAATATTATAAAAAAAAATTCCTATCTTGGTTTCATAGAAATAGTTTTTAAGATATAATTAATTTTTAAGTAATTGACAGTAGCTTTATTTAATGAATATATTGGTAAGGTGTGTAACTTTATATTAATTACATTTTATATTTAAAATAACACATTTTATTAAACAAATTCAATAATTGTTGGCCAATTGTCAAAAATATTTCGTTATATTAATTGGCTTAAATAAAAAGTTAACAAGGCTTTTTTTTTACTTAAATAGAATAAACAATAATGTTTCAATCAGCACCGTTTGTTGATCTTTTGCTTAAGAATTTTTTTGTGATAAATTAGTACGTATATATTTAAAACTCATTAAATCTTACTTTTTTCGCTACGTATAACTTAAAAATTTCAAGTTTTGAGTGCATACATTTATAAAAAAAAATTTATTCAAATTTTTTTTTGTGATAACGACGTTAATTATTTAAAGAGAATAAAATTTACGACGTAAAAATACTAATTACAAAAAAACCGTTACTAGAACTCGTCCTCGTGATATTAAAAATCATTTATGGGATAAGAGGTACTTGTTGCTCTCTAAATTCGACTAAAGAATCATGATAGACAATGGTAATAAAATAATTATTTAAGCAAAGTTTAGTGTTTTATTATTAACGGTAACGTTTTTTTTTTTTTCAGAATTATTTTATTCTATTTGTCCCGAGATCTTAAGCACACATATAGCGTTAAGATGCCCCGATCTAGACATTGCTATGGATTCTTTTTGTGGTGCTGGTNGATGCCCCGATCTAGACATTGCTATGGATTCTTTTTGTGGTGCTGGTGGAAATGTCATCCAATTGGCCAAGAGATACACAAGAGAAATCACTGTTGATATCGTTGCTAAAAAATTAGAATTCGTCAAAAGAATGGGACAAAATTACATTTATACAGGGAGATTTCTTCGATATTGCAGAAACGTTAAAAAAATTTAAACCACAAGTCATAGTGACGTCTCTCCCATGGGGTGGTATAAGAAACACAAAGTTTACAGTCTTGAAAAACATATGTATAACGACTACGAAGAAGGTGGTAGAAAACTCTTTGACTTGCCGAGAAATATTGCTCCTAACATAGCATTGCCCATACCTAAAACTATAAGTCGAAACGAGGTAGATTAATCTAATTTCTATAGGTAAATCACAACTGTAGTTAATATTGGTCAATTAAATTTCTAGTTGATAAAATTTGGAAAATTATTCTACCTCAACATGGAAATTCAACACACACAATTATATCGACGAAAGACACAATTCTATAATTGCGTTTTTCGGCCGATTTTTTAACATGAACACGAAATTCTTATCTAACGACAACAAACTTTTTACGAGCAGAAAACATTTCAAGTATCGAGAATGTGCTGATTACTATTTGACTTCATTACATTTTTGGTTTGCTTTCAATAGTAAGGCTGTCCTTCATTTTTCTATATTATAAAAAAATGATTATTTAATATTTTNGGATATCTGGAAACTCAGGTACTAATAATTTTGATTATACAGTATAGAATTATAAATATATTTATTATAATACGATTACATAATGGATAACAAAATTAAAATTTAATAATAACTTCTCCAAGTTGAAATTGAGGAGAGATCATAATAATCGGACGTCAGGATTTATAGACCTCATAATTCTTTGTTTAACACAGCATAAAATATTAAGCTTGAATAACGCCTATGATTTATATGTTTCATATCATTTTAGATCTTAGACCTCCAATGTATCTTAATCTAGACTTAAAAGTTCTCATTAGTCTATTCAAGATCATTTTTTCAAAATTCCTATAACTGTGACAAAATTTGTTTTTGATAAAGATTTTAACTAAACACGTAACTAAAAAAAATATTTTTTCAAATGTGATATATGATTTTAAAAAAAGTCTACATGAATATTTTATGCTATTTTATTAGGAATTGACTTTTAAATTTCTCCTAAATTAAAAGTAATTTCGAAAAAAAAATTTGATTTTAGTATTATTATTTTTTTATTAGTATGTGGTTGAATAATTCGAAACTTCTATCTATTGGATAATAGCAACATTTACATTTAACTACTTTATACTTAAAAAATGACTGGTCAATAAAAACTTTTCAACTAGTATAAGGGAGAAAAAATGATACAAAGTAAGAATAGGTAAGTGGAATGTTGAAATATTAACTGGCAAAAGTAGACAATTAGTAAAAGTATTAAAGAGTAGAAAAGTTAACGTTTTTTGTGTACAGGAAATAAAATGTAAGAAGAGAAAGCAAAGAAAATAGATGAAGGTTATAAAATAATATACTCAGGTAATACAAAGAATGGTGTATGGATTATAATAGATATGGAGATTAAAGTAAAGTAGTTGAAGTTGTTAGGAATAGTGACAGAACTTTAGTCGTAAAATTAATTTTAGAGGAAAAAATGTTGAATGTAATAAGTGCCTATGTTACACAAGTAGAATGTGATGCAATGAGGATATGAAAGAGTACATGGAGAGAATGGTTTTAGTGGGAAGAATGAAGCTGGAAAAAGAATCCTGAATTTCGCAGTATCGTATGATTGTGCTGTGGTTAATACTTATTTTAAAATATTATAAAACAATATATAACTTATAAGAGTGGGTGTAATAGATCAAAGATTGATTATTTTATGTCGAATAGAGAGAGCGTAAAGAGAATAAAATACTGTAAAGTTGTCCCAGGCGTGAATGTAACTTCACAACATAAACTGATGGTAATGGAGTTGTGGTGTAGTGGGAAGAGTGAATACAAAAACAAAAAGAACACAGAAAGAGAATCTTTGATCCGGTTGTGGATATTAAAAGGGAAAAAAGAAAAAGAGATTTTAAAAATGGTAAAATAGAAGATATTCTGGAATGTCCAATGACACATAAATGATGTGTAAAATAGATTTGCTAGTTGTGTAAAGAATACTGCAAATGAGATTGTTGGTGAGAGTAGAAGTAGAATACCAGGAAATAAGAAAATCAGTTGGTGGGATGAAAAAAGATGGAAAGAGTATATTGAAAAATAACAAAATGAGGAGTATCCAAAGAGATATTAGAGGATATCTTATGAAACGAAGGACTGGTAGATTTAATTAGTAAGAAAGAGATTTGGAAGGTTGTGGCATCAATGAAAATGACAAAAGATGTGGGATCAGATGAAGTACGGAAAATTTTAGGCAATGTTGACTTAAGGCGGTTGACGAATCTGTTTAATAAAATATTATTAGAATTGAAAAAGCCAAAAAAATGGACTATTAGTATTGTGGTGCCGATACTTAAAGATAAATGAGACATACAGGAGTGTGGAAATTATAAAGGCATAAAGCTAATGAGTCATAGTATGAAAATTTGGGATAAGGTAATAGATAATAGAATAAGAAATGAGACATTGGTATCTGAAAACCAGTTTGGATTTATGCCTTGTAAGTCAACAATGGAGCCAGTAATTTTTGTAAGACAGCAGATAATAGAAAAGTATTGAGATAAGAAAAATAAACTGTGCATGGTATTTATAGATTTGGAGAAAAAGTATGATAGAGTAATGAGAAAGATTTTACAAAGGGCATTAATGAAAAAGGTACATTAATATAGTAGAGGATATGTATGAGGTGTTAGAGGTCAGCTCTTAAAGAAAAGGGTTTAACAATAAGTAGGGTTAAGACAGAGTATACAGAGTACGAATTTGTCTAAGGAGAACACGAGGTAAGTCAAATGAAATGATCAGTGACAATAAGAGAGGACATGATAGAAGAGGTGGAGAGTTTTTAGTATTTAAGGTCAGTTGTGCAAAAGAGTGGTAGTTTTAACAAATATGTAAGACACAGGATCAGAATTTAATATCCCATCAGAATTTAAATAGATGTTTATAAAACATTGTAATATGTTAACGGAAAAAAATTCATATCAATAGATTATAAGTAGTTTTAATCTAATTAAGACTAGATACACTGTATTAATGTATATTATTATTAACTATATTATGAGAAAAATAAGTCTAATTGGACTGCTCTTGAAGTTTCATTTTTATCAAAAGCGAAATTATTGAATAAGATGTGTTCATAACCTAAAATGAAAAAACTGATATTAATAGAGTAATTTTTATTTAAAAAAAAACCTACCCTAGAAAACATCTCTATGTTCACTAATTTTGTTGGTGTCACTTTCATAGATAAATTATTTCCATTATTCATTTTTATAGCATGTAATAACATCTTTTTGAATTTTATGTCTTTAACTGTCCAATTACAACTGTACATAGCAAAAATCATGGCGTCTTTCTATATTTTCATAAAATATGAATATAAAATATAACTTAACATTGTTGTGCAAATTTTGCATTAGAATTATAAATATAAAAAGTTTATAATATAAAATATTTTATTTGTTTTTTATTCAGTTATTACATACGTAATATTTCATTTTAGAAAGTTATTTCACCTACTTTTTCTTTTCTTCACCTTTATGCCAATTACTTAGGGTCGGCTACCCTTATCATAAATTTCCGTGTGACACATTANTTGAACCGACATGCGTTGGCGCTTAAAATGTGACAAGATTATTGTGTGGTAATACTAAAAACATACTGAGACCACGGTTATACCGTACACAAGTCAATTGCTTTTGTTTGTTATGATAACCATGTTTCCCTGGTGGATCTGACAACTAATTATGTTTTAAAAATATATGTATTAATCTACAATAATATTCACGATTATAGATACATTTAAATCTAATAATGCAATCCATCTATATCATTAATTACAATTGCGTATATCAATTAAAATCAAATCCAAAAGAATATAAATGTTGGATAAAGCATTTTTTCTTTTTTTGATACAGCCGGTATAAAATAATTTTATACGCGTGTATTATACCTTGTATCATACCGTATAATACACATGTATAATACCGACTCACATCTCNAAAAAAAATTCGCTAATTTATAAATTTTAGTATTAATAATACATATTATTAGCTTTGATACGAAGCTGAGAAGGTATTAATTTTACTATGATTTGTTTATTTATTTACGTCAAAAGATCACAAATCGTATCTAGTTGAAGACCCTCAAAAATTGAATATCTCCCTCATGTTCCCCATGTAAATGGTGAAAATCACCCAAAAAATTATGATTTTTAAAATCAATAAGTTTTAACATTTTTTTCAGTTTTTTCCCTAATAATTGTCATTACTTTTTACAAAAATTAACTAATCAAAATAATTTTTTATATTGAAAATCTGATCTTTTACCTGCCCACAGAGGGTGATTCAAAATGGCAATTTTTTTACAAACTCAACTTAAATTTTAAAAATGTTCTGGAAACACTGCATTTTTAATATATATGTCAAATTTAAGCTCATGTTTCATACTATAAATTAAAAAAAAAGTTGTCATGACGCTTATCTTCTTTATGCAAATGACTGCCGTAGTTAAAATACATGCTATTTTTGTATTCAAATTTTATTATTTTTTTTTGTTAATTTAAAAATACCTTATCAGGGTTTGCCATAATAATGAGTCTACCAATAAATATAAAACTTTCATGAATCTAACTTACATTAATTATAAATTTATACTTATTTTGATAATTTTGCCCCTTCAAAGTTAAGAAAAATTTAAAAAGTAGATTTTTTTCAACTTAACTTTTGAAAATCTGCGTCTTTTAAATATATATGTATATTAAAATACACCTTATTTTACGTACTAGAAATTAAAAAAAAAAAAAGTTTATATCAACGACCTTTTTTCTATGAGCAAATGGCAGTCGAAGTAGAACAAAAAATAGGCGTTCATTTTTTTTTTGGTATAATCCTACAATTTCTTAAAATTAAACACTATCTACAGATTTACATCGAAGCGTTTCTTATGATAATGATTTTAATCAGTGACACATATCATGTGTACTTGTCTCAACTATGCCATGTCCATACTGTCCCACGACTCCACTGTGCTACCGTTTTTTTTTTAGTGTTACCATTCCGCTTAAATTATGTAGCTCAAGATTAAAATGTAACTTTTTCTATAATATTTTTATAAAAGTTTTATAAAAAAGCCTTTAATATTAAATTTTTTTATGAATATAATGAAAATAAGATTACTTCTAGAGATCTTTTTTTTAATTAAACAAAATGTTGTCGAAAATTCTTTGGATCAATAATTAATAATTTTTTGCTGAAATTTCGAACTGGATAAAAGAGATGGTTAATATATTTTAATATTAACATAGGTATATCCAGTGTTAAATTTAAATATACTACTAGGGGACTGAGACTCCCCTGAAACAAAAATAATTCTCAAATCAACACTGGGTATGTAAGAAATTTTGTATTAGGTTTTTGGTTTGTATCTTATGTAATAATAAAGTGTAACAAGACATTTAAATCATCAAAAAGTATTAATAGTTGAATTAAACTAAAAATATATTGTCACATGATTAGTTATAAGAATTTGTATTATTTTACACAAAATTAAGTACAAAATCATATTATATATGCGAACTTTTTTAATATACTCTTAAAATCAACAGTAGGAAGTTAATATATAAAATACATAATACTTATACCTAAGTAAAAACGTATATAAATCAGTTATTTATATTGTATTAATAGCGACTATCATTTTGTCATTATTAATGAATTATCGTAGAAAAATAAAATGGCAACTAAGTTTCTGAGACAATAATAATACAATTAACTTTTTCCGGAGAAATACTTCACATTTATATTTACAGCAAATATATATAAATTCAATTGTGTTGGTCTAGTTGTGTTTGTATTTCTAGTAATCCAACTTTATCTCAATTAATGAAACATTTCATTCTTAAATATTTACATCTTTCCGGAATAATGTGATCCCATGTGTGATGGTGGTCCTCTCATATGCGGTTGATGCTTTGCCGTTCCCGAATACCGGCTACCCGGCCTAGAGTGTACAATAGCATAGTGGTCGCTGTTAGTTGACATGGACCTCGTCGAGTTCATCGTTGATCCTCCAGATACATATCCCGGTTTACCATTCAAAGAATACCTAAACAAATAACGGGTTATTTAATTACAATAACGATACATATATTAAACATATTCCGTGGGCAAATGTATGTTCTGATTGAAATGAAAATTTATGTAGGCAGTAGGCGGATGACACTGGTAAAAATTTAAGAAAACTATTTTGGAACGTAGATTAATAATCATTAATATTTATCATCATATTATAAACATAACTGTGTTTAAAGTCACACGTGGAAACGTATGATTTATTAAAATGCATTGAATAATTATTTCTATTAATAATAACACAGAATATACAGAATCGATACTAATAAAAATGTTCATAGTTGATATAGTAAGATCAGTAAATCAGTCGGCCAATTGTATTTAGGTAAATCAGTGAGACCAAATCCTTAAATTTAAATTAGCATATATAAATAACATATTTATGGGTTAATTTCACATTTGTATAAAAATTAATATTTTATTTTCATCACATGAGTAAAAACAATAACATTACCTAAAACAAAATAGCTGCCAAATTAGTTTACTTAAAGCGGTGTCCAAAGACTGAAAATAATAACCCTCCGCAACAGAAAATAAAAAACAAACAATATGACAACATATGATTTGATATCGTTTATATTTTTTGCGTAAAATAACACAATTATATTATTGATAATAACTATTAGAAAAATGTGTAACCAAAATTTTTGAATTTTAAATTGAACATTTAAACAGAAATTACATAAGGTGTTAAGTGAGTAAGGAATAGTTCGAATTTTATGAACAATAGAAACCCCATTATGTACTATTTGTTAACTCTATATATGGAATAAAAATGAATATATAATTTCTTGTTTGTTGTGGTCAATGAAAATTTTTTTTTAAATGTATAAATTTTTCTTGAGAAATATCAGTAACATATTCGACTTTGGGTTAAGTAGGCAAAAAACTCGTGTAAAATCACAGAGCTGCCTACATAAAAATGTGTAAATTGTGAGCATTTTTTTAAACTAAAAAAAACATTTAACGGTTTGAATAACATTATGATAAATTATTAAAAAATATATAACTATTATGTTTGTTACCTGGATCCATATTGGGAACCGTGCCAACTGCGATAAGGGTCGTAGTCTTCAATGATACTAGGTTCTTTTTCAATGATATCGGTACGTGCACAAGAGCACGTCATTGCCGAGCACAGGAATACATTGATTATCAACATAATCAGAAACATCAGTCCAAATGCTATGCACAAGTAAAGCAACCATGGTGGTCGAATACCTCCTTCAGAAGAATCGTCACATAAACCTAAACTACGAGGTGTCTCACCAGGCTGTAAGACAAATACACTAGTGCTTGCCAGTAGCGTCCCTTCTTCTTGCTGAGCTTCCCCTTTCACGTCTTTTGATTGCTGTAAGGCCAACGAGTTGCTGGATACATCATCGCAATCAGGTTCGGTGCATACACCTCGGCATACCTCGATGTCGCATTGGAAATGTAATTCTGAACTATCCGGAAACCGGAACATCGATGTTAATATAGCATCTGCATGTCCGGTTTTAGTATCATATATGAATGGTGTAATGACTTTAGAATTAATTGGACATCTAAAAACAATCAATTAATTATTTTTTTTAATTTTATAACTCGGGTGAATTAAAGTATTTATTCATGAATATTATTAAGCATTGAATCAATAAAATTATAAGCAATTAGGTTAAGATTACAACGAAAATCTTTATAAATTATATAAAACAATACGAGTATAGTCTTGTCTCAATAATATTGAGCCAACACACGACAAATATTGTTAATACGTTAGTCCTTTTTCAAATACTTATTATATTAAGTAAATTTTCTTTTATAACGATACTTTTTAGTTTTCGAATCAAATAAATAAAGGCAATAATAAAACTATCACGAAAAATTGAATTTTGACTACTTATTGAATATCATAAAAATATAAATTGTAAAGAAGAGGTTTGTGCCATGTTTATTAAGAATCGTGCACGCCTCATTGGTTTCAAAACGATGATCACAATAAGCTACTTAATTTTATTCATTAGAAATCATGGATCATAAAAAACCTCATGATTGTAGCATTTCAAACAGAGAAGAAGTAGAAGTCTATTATATAAGAAATAGCGATTGGGTTCACTTACCCGCGCTCGTTGATGAGATTGACGCTGTTGTTCTTTTTGCTAAACGCAAAACAATTCTTAACTCGTATTCCATGGGTTCCTGCAATGTCAAATATGAGAAGTTTTTGTTACATGCTTTAAGAAAATTATTTTTAGTCAAATTATTATAATTATTATTAGTATCAATATTAATCTAACCATTTTTATATGAATATATTTAAATCATTTATTTATTTTATTATATTGATAAAAAACAAATCGTCACAAATGCTAATAATCGAATTTTTGAGGGGGGCCTCGAGTCACCTCTAACACCACAACCAGCTCCCCGCCCAAAACTGTGTGTAATGTAATTCATACAAGCAAACCAATTTTAATATAATCCAAAATAATTTTTAATATTTCTTTCTTATTTGTTCTGTTGCTATCGTACTGACTAATATTAATATAATTCGACCGTAATATATGACATTAGATTATTGTATACAGGTTTGTATAATAATTAAATTAAATGAAGAGTGAATGTGTCAAACGTTCTATGTGCCAAAAAAGTGAAAAATTGTTTTATTTCTGATTTATGTTCTATGTGCCAAAGGCCACAATCTTGTATGTGTTTCAAATGTCAATTAAATTTTTTACTTGTACAAAATTGCATTCATAGATGGTGTTCGATATGTGAGACATGCCCATGTTACCATTGTTTTTTGTGTTTTCTGAACAAATATGTTTTTGGGACATAGAACGTTTGACACATTCACTCTTCAAATATTTTTAAATTAATTGCCCACATTCAAATATCAACCATAAAATACTATTTTTTGAGCTCTTTAGTATCTATTGTTTAATAATTACAAGGTTTAAAGCCTAGTTGACATTTATTAATCATCAATTATTAATGCAACTATAAAAGTAATCGTAATAATATAAAGATTAATTTTTCATTAATTAAGATGAATATCCATATTTTAAATTGATTAATATTTTGTTTTATAAAAATAAAATAACAATAATATAATTGTTGTTTTATTCTAAATTGATTAATTTTTATTATAACTATAACTTAAATAAATTATATATTCAATTATTTTTAATGCGTGGAAACAATTTGTACCGTTCATTTAATCAAAATAAAAATATACCCTAATATTTGGTTATCCTATTATTGTTCTGCCGTGCTAAGCGAAAACAGGATAACTCCAGTCAACATGATTTTTCAGGAACACAAAAAAACATTTTTAATAGTAAATCAAGATACCCTTTTTTCACAATGTATGAACATAAGTCAAAAGACGGTAACTCCATTATTTTTTATGTGATATACCAAGTTTTTGCTTAGTATTTGGATTTACCGTGTTTTCGCTTACAAAAAATCAAATATATTGAACTTACCGTATATTGTCATATTTTATATTAATTTTAGATGTTTTAATAAAAAATATACTATTTTTACATCAAAAATTGGTGTAAAACCACTAAATTTACCTATAGAAACAAAAAAAATTTTTTTTTTAATTTTGGAGTTATCCTGTTTTTGCTTAGCACGGCAGTGTTGTAGTGGAAGCATGCTCCCTATCCTATCACACGCACTTGGTTTTACTATTTTAAAAGTTTTTCAAAACATCAACCCATTTTTTTTTTTTTTAAATACGCAACTAATTTTATAGTAATTAAGTGTGTTATTCAAAAATTAGATGCAGATGTGCTTTGTAAATTGTTTTTGAGAAATAAGATTCATTAAAATAAAAAAAAATACTTTCATGGAATATACAATTTATCTAAAATAATAACAAGCCTTGGACACTTCTATTATTTAACAAAATTGGTAGCCATTTTGTAATAGGTAATGTTATTATTTTTACTGAAGTGATAAAAAATAAAAATAAATATTATTTAAATATACTTAATAATTATACATTTCTATTAAACACTTAAAAAACATTTTAATTTGTCAGAAAAAAACGTATTTAATTATTATTCAATTTAAAAATAGGGTAACTAAATTTAAATTTAGCTATTTGTCCACATACCAAAATAACTACTGATTTAATTAATCACTTCCTTATATTGACTATGTAATTTTTTATCAGTATACTCTGTGGTATAAAATAAACAATTATCAAATAATTACCGTCTGGTCTTGATATTTCAGCTCTCAACGTATACGGATGACTATATACAACTTCCTGTGTTCTCTTTCCATTCTCGAGGAATTTCAGTGACACCAACGATGTTTCATTTCTACGAAAAAAAGTTTACACACAAATATAACTATGACGTAATTTCAATTTAATGAGTGGTATGTACATTAAAATGTCTATTAAAATAACTGCATCATACAATCTTCGGTTTTAGTATTGAAGTAGAAATGTTTGATATTAAAATTGCATACATACTTGGAATTTTTAAATCCAGCTTTTCCACATGTAATAACATAAAACTTGTCGTCTGCAAGTTCTAAGGTTCTATGAATTCTGATAGCAATTGGTACTGATCTTTCTTCAGTTCTCTACAAATATAACAAAGTAATGTCATTACTAATACTATTGACTATTACTTATTTTTTATTCTTAATATGTATACCTGAACAATCATAATTATATCAAATGAAATCATTACATGATATATCAATTAACAATTTAATGTGATTTATAAATAGTTTAAAACCTTTGAAATTAGTGAACAAAATTATGTGAACATGCTTAATCAGAAAGTAAACTTGTTGATTGATGTATCGAGAACCAGCTACCAAAATGTTTAACAACGCAATTCATTTGGTTTATTAATATCATTAAAGCTAATTATGATACACAATTGTTTAACATAAAAACAATGATGTAACGTTATTCATAACATTAAATTAATAAACAAAACGTAGTAAACATTTCGTAGACGAATTGGTATCATTTTAAACGACGCTGCGTTAAGGTAACAGTAATATTTTTAATAAGAAAATAGTTCTGTTTTCTTAGTAATTTATAACGTTAAGCAGAAATTAATAGGATTAGACAAATAAAAAGGTTAACGTTAAAATTCTGTACGCATTCAACTTATCCAACTAGATAATGATATAATTATTCTTCTTAGCTTTATTTGTTTTTCCCAAAGTACATTTTTCTTGTGAATGTATTTAAAGACGTCTGAGTGTTACTTAATTTATAATTAGTCGCTCGCTGTATGTACAATCTTGCTACATTTTAAACAACTGGAATTTTTCTAATAGGTTTTAGTTTATAAGAACAATTATTTAGGTTATATAATCTTAAAAAAAAATACACTAATTGGGAGACAAAAGTCATAGTTTACATGGCATTTTTTAATCAAAATTAATTTGGTAAGATTAAAAAAATAATAAAGCAATAACAAATTTTCATCCCCATTCACCATTGATTTTATTAAATACAAACGCACAAAAAATATTTTTTCGATCTCATCTACAGATCATCTATTATTCATTAGAAATAACGTACACTGTCACGATTATACTATACTTTCCCTTCAAGAGGACTTTTCTAGACCGCAGTATTATCCAACCACAACCAATTTCAATATATTTTATATTTACACAATAATATTCTTCATAAATACAAACAAACAAATAGAACACCATAAAATTTCTGGCATTTAATATAACAGTAAATATTACTTCAAGCAAGGTGTTCTCACGGAGAGAATAGTTATGAAATTTAATAAAATTTCGTGTTAAAAATACAATTTTGATTTTGAAATGCAAGTTCAAATTTTTATAGGTCGTTTTCAAATTTGTTATTCAAATCGTTTTCAATTCAAATTTGGCATTAATTTTTAAATCATTCCTTTAGATGGGAGATTGGGTGGGTTTTATTATTTTTAGTCAATTGTTAATGTAATACATTAAAATATGCGTTTTTGAGGTCTCTTAGTTCAAAATTTATAATAAATTTATAAATATCCTATTAAAAGAGTTATTGATGGTGCTATTTTTATTGTTACATATTCAATAATATGTTGTTATACTTTATGAAATAATATGTACTGCTCACACTGTGTAACCCTATTAAAAAAACTAATATATTTTTACACATTTTTTACTTGCCATCCTCTAAAATGCGTAAAATTTTATGAAAAAACTTTTCCGAAACAAAACTTTTTAATGTCCACTCATTTTATAATACTTGGCAATATTAATATTGTATAAGTAATTAGTTTTACTTTTAAATTTTTATAATTTCATAATATCGCACAAAATATGTACTTCTACATTCAACACACAAGAATAAACGAGTGAATTATTTAGATAATGTTCAAAATCGTAGAATAATTATATTAACTCAAAATTAAATTATTAAACATAGTAATTTTCATTTGTTTTAAATAGTTTTTAAAATTTCAAACAAAGTCCATATTAACCATTTTAATTTATACGAAAAACTAAAATACTCGCTAAACTTTTTGAAATATGTTTAAATGTTTTAGCTTTTGTTAATAATTGCATAATATGTAATTTGAAATATGTGTAATACATTATTTTTTAGTGTCAATTTTGATACGAAATGACTACAGACAAACTATTACTTTAATTTAGAGATTATTACATATATAATAAATAAAACAAACAACAGAGTATAATTACATTACAAGATATAAGATAAAAATATATTTTCATCTTGCATTATTTATTGAAGATGATTTGTGGTCGAAACTAGTAGTTGCTAATATATTTATAATTATACTCTAGGTTGTTTATTTTCTTAACTACATATTAAATAAATAATATCTATTGCAATAAACAATATATACATTTTTATTTTATAAAATAAAAAAAGAATGAGAAATTATGTAACTATCATATAAAAACATTGTAATATAATATATATTATATTATATTTACATTATATTGCATCATTTTGTCACTATCATACATAAGTAATGTTCAATAAAATAAAGCAAGAAATATATATACATTATTTTTTTCTAGACAACTGACGAAATACTGTTATTGTGTATATTTGTTCTTGCAATTCTTAAAAAAAAAAGGAATGAATTGGTTCATTTCTTTTAGTCAGAAAAAAACATTTGAATGAATAAATTCATAGAAAAACATTGAAACTTATTGACACTAATGACAGTATAACTTAATTCACAACGTGTCGTTCTTTTATGTAGGAAATAACTAGATAATAATACCAATTGACTGGTTACAGTAAATAAATAGGTAACTGATAAACATACATTTGTCAATAGTACACGCTTGTTGAGGTTGACTTTGGTGTAGTTTATTATTATTATTATTTTTTTTTTTTTTTATTGAAAATCTCCTATTTTACATTATCTGTACATTATTTTATATAATCATTTTTGTTGGTATTTTAGTTTTATGGTAGAGATGAAGAATTTTAATCTACTTCCAGAAAGCAGTCGGTCGGTATTAATATATACTGGTTATTTTATTCAATGTAGTGACATGATCGGTACTGTGCTATGAATTATAACACAAAAATACAATTTATAATGAAATATATTAAATAATATAACCATATTTGTCTGAATAAAATATACCCTAAATGTCAACAAAGATTGTAATAAATATTTATAAACCAAAGTGAACAAATAAATAGAAATATACAGAGTGTTCAATAAGTCAGGAAACGGGTTTCTATTGTTCTCATTGTTACAAACAATGAGAACAATAGAAACCCGTTTCCTGACTTACTGAACACCCTGTATAATCATTTTTGTTGGTATTTTAGTTTTATGGTAGAGATGAAGAATTTTAATCTACTTCCAGAAAGCAGTCGGTCGGTATTAATATATACTGGTTATTTTATTCAATGTAGTGACATGATCGGTACTGTGCTATGAATTATAACACAAAAATACAATTTATAATGAAATATATTAAATAATATAACCATATTTGTCTGAATAAAATATACCCTAAATGTCAACAAAGATTGTAATAAATATTTATAAACCAAAGTGAACAAATAAATAGAAATATATATAAAACAAAATATATAGAAGGTTGATCAGTAAGTAAGGAAACGGATTTCTATTGTTCTCACTGTTTGTAACAATTGACCTGTATCCTTACTTATTGAACACTCTGTATATTAAAAGTATATAGATAATTTTTTTATGAGATATTTATTTATCGTTTAATCCAAAATTACTTAATTTATGACAGCTTATCGTCAGTTTATTCTCAGTAAAAATTGAATTATTTATTCGATATACATGATAACAAAAAAAAATTTTATTTTAAGAAAAATCTAGTTAACAACGATAAATCTATCATTCTGTAAATAGAGTGATTAATTAATAATAATACCCCCCAATTTTTTCATAAAATAATCATTTTTTCACAAAATGTACTAAAATATATCTCTTTCATCTACTTTAAAAATTTATAATAATTTAAAAAGTATTGCTTCAAAACAATTTATTGACCAGTCAATCTTTTGTTAAGTTAATTTTCCATCCAATAGTATAGAAAAATTTTAGGTACCCATTTATTTATCTTTCGAAATTTGCTCGAAAAATTATCTTAAGGATTAGTTTCTTTTTAATTAATTTGATATATATTATGTATTATAAAAATAAAAAATATTGAATTCAGTTAAATTTTGTGAAAAAAATGGGGATATCATTCTCAATAAACCACTCTGTATATAATTTTATGATTATATTATGTACTAATTTTTTTATTTTATTATAATGTTTAATCGAGGGGCGGACTAGCACTCAGAAGTCTCGGAGAGGAAAGCTTTTAAGTAATAAAAGTTTTTTAAAATTTTTTGTTCATTAGGTAAAAAAAAACAAGTAAATCTATGTATTACATTAATTTTCTTCAATCGAAATTAAACCTCCACAATAACTAACATTGATCTTATTTCATAACAATTCTTGAGGTTCTAGGAGACTTAAAATGGTGTTTATTATATCTAATGGCGATCGTCTCTTTGAACCTGCTCTCTTTCTTATCCGAAAAAAAGATGTTTCATTCGATTCGAGTGCAGGTAGCACCAATATCGAGTAGCGGTAGAGTCGCTGCTACACGTAATAATAATATTATGATTGATTTTAAACGAAAAGAATAGCTGATGTCGTATAACTATTGAACGGTATTTAATAAAATGTGTATCAATGAAGGAAGGTATTGTTGACAAAAACTGACCATGAAATTGGATATGTAAGTCGTTTTTTTCACATAGGTACTCAATTTATATTTATAATAATGCACTAGGTATGCTACTTTTGTCAGTTCAACAAACGGTATTTTTGATATTTGATAACTGATGGATTCATAATAGAATTTAAGAGATCGTTTATTGTGAACAAAAATTAAAATATATTGTAACAATATACAGTACTTACATTGTTGGCGAACACACCACAGTAGTCTGAAGTCCCTTGGTTGGCAAATAGATTGATACTAAGCGTGGTAAGTTTGGTACCGTTGCCGTAGCCTAAGCAGCTGGCCGTTCGGTGGTCTCTGGCGTGCACAGCTCCTGTTGAAAGAATATTATACATTAATAATATATATTGTTATAATATATTTTTTTGAACATTTATTGGTATTAATTACTATTAAAATATTAGTTTTTATTTATTCATGATTTTTTATAAGTGACAAGCTTATGAGCTGAGTTATGATTTTTTGTCTCTCCTTTTTTACTTTAATCATGAGCGCAACTAACGGGGTGATGCAGCACCTCCAATCAAATTATGTGAAAATAACTTTTACTTATTTCATAAAGAGTTTTTATTATCAGTAGCTGACAGTAAATATATAAAGTGAAAAAAATGTTTCAATCAATTTAAAAACTGTTGTGGTTATTTTTTCATTTACCAAAAATATGATGATAAGACGAATTCGAAGTTACTGAATAGTATATATTCAATAATATTCTATGGTATTAAATATATGGTATAATGATCTATATATTTAATAAAAGATATTAAATATATAGACGCGCAACGTTATCGAGAAAACGAGAATTTATAACATTAACTTAAATAGTTAATATTTTCTGTGATAAAAATCGAAAATTGATATTAGCATAATATTTTATAAGAAAATAAAATCGTTTATTATTTTAAATTAGCTCTTATTAATTAATTATTTAATGAATACTATTGAGGGGTGAGGGGTTTGTGAGTATTACATAATTTCAGCTACCCCCTGAATTTTTTTCTTTAGTTGCGTCAATGCTCTAGTACTAGTAACTGGCATAAATAAATCATTTATAATTTGATTACCTTATTTTAGAGAATAATAATGATAATATAATTTAAAAATCTTAATTATACTGATCTGTCTACTTTATTTTTTTACTTCCAATGAAAATGTATTATTTATTTAAACTTCGAATCCGATGAGCTTTTGACAAAGACATCATTTTAACATCTAATTATTTGTTTAGTAACACAAATATCAAGTTATTTCTATTTATAAAATTTAAAATAAGTCTGCTTTATTATGTCCACACCAAACTATTTTTATTTTCAAGCTGATTTCAAAATGACCGAAACTAATGAAAAAAGACAGTATTTTATGTGACGTAGAAGTGTGAACACAGTAAAATATCTATAGCGTCAGGGAAATATCTCAGCATGGTAATATTTTATTAAATATAGTGTTTGAGTATAATATGATAGACATATACATTACTATACCTTAGCTTTAAATTTACTATTAAACCTTAATTTGTTTTTTAGAGCTGAAATAAAAATTTAACTAAACGTGTCAACGATCATCAATCGAAAATGACTCATTTTGGTAACAAAGGAGTGAATGTAAATACCTGAATAGATAAGTACTAAATCATAGAATTAACTTTTTACGATGCTAACATTGTGTAGTGGTAATTTTTGCACATATATACCACAATGAAAGGTCATGTTATAATTTACTCTGTAATTTTTTCAATCCGATCTGGAGGGTTATCTATTGTATGCGTTGAATACGATCAAGTTTAATGATATATAGCAAACAAACATACAGTTATTAAATGTCGATGATATTGTTGGTTCGCTTCTGATAACAAGATTTATGACTTTACAAGTATGTTATATGAACACTGTATATTATATGAGGACTTTCGATTGACGTGCGTGGGAGGAGTTGTCCATAACAAGTATATAGTGCGTTCAACTTTTGTTAAAAGTTATTACAAAAACACATTATACTTATTTGAAGGATCGTAAATAATAATAGGGAATTAGAAAAAATTCATACAACATTCTAATTATAGTAACTATTAAAAATAATTCTGTTTAAAAAAGCTGGACAATTATACACATATTATTCTACAAAAGTAATTTGCATAAAATAATTGCAACGTTTTTTAATCATTAAAGAATATTTATCTATAAATAAGGTTATCATTTAATAAGAATAATTTAAAGGTATATGAACTGAAGGTTTTCAATTAATTAGAAAAAAACATTTTATGAATATTTACTACTATTATGAGTTTATATAATTTTTATAAATTACAAGTACACCATTTTCTTTAAAAATTGAACGATTTATAAAAATAATTGACAATAAAATAATAATATATCCATTTATATTTTTTAATGTTCATTATTCAAACATAAACGAGTTTTTTTTAAATGTGTTTATTCATAAAAAAATCAGACAAAAAATGTCAAAACCTGGTCAGCCCCACTCTGTATATATGTACTAATTTGCTTTTGTTGTATAAATTTTTATTTTTTTTTTTACATTTACTATGTTTACTGGCACATTTAATTAATACAAATAAATACTATTTTTATGTCAACTGATGTGCACAATGAATAATCAATGCAAAAGTGCATTGTAAAAATTTAAATGATCTGTTTTAAACAATTGAAATTTTGTAGATAAAAAAGTGAAGCAGTTACAATGTAATTTTTTTATTTTATAGGACTCAGTATTTAGAGTACTAGAATGGCATATTTAATGTCCTGACAAATTTGTTCCGTTAAAAAAAAATAGAAAATACTAATGTGCATGACAATTGTGTACTAGAATCCAGTACCATGTATCCTATTCCCTTAATTATTGTGTAATTAGCTTATATTTTTGCATAGTTTGCGTAACAGTATGTAAAAACATAATTATGATTGTAAATTTTAATTAATGACAACTAACCGAAGAAAGGCTGGTTTGTGGCAACTTTAATCGTCATGTACCCAGCTTTGCATGTCGCCGTAACGGATGGTATGAACTCTTGTTCTACAAGAGTTTGCCCATTAATCGCCTGTAAAAAAAAAATATTTATTGGTTATTACATAACTTAAGTATTTTACCTTTCAAATTGTCATATCATTAATATTCATACAATTTTATGAATTTCTATTTACAACTTAGTTAAATTATTTATCAAAATTTAAATAAACAATAGACAGAATTGTGATATATTACATACTTGAGCTTTCAAATACACTTATTTGTAAGCTTATAAGCGTTTTTTTTTAATTTATAATGTGATTTATAATTTGTTAATCATATAACTTGCTCACGAATTTAACTAACAACATTTGTTATCACTCAAAACATTCTGCTATTGAAATTAACATTGCACGTATTGTTTTTCAACGATTTATTGTTATGGAAATGCATTTTTTTTATGCGCCATCATAAAAATAAACGGAAGTTTGATTTACAGGAAAAAAATATCTTGTGTGCTTAACCATTGTAAGAACCCAGATGGGACCCAATGAGTTCAAAGACCGCTAGAGAATACAACTGGAAAATAGGTAATTTCACGTGTAGCTTAAGAGAGTTGAATTAAATGTATTGAAGTGATGACCAGGTCTATGTGGACATCATACAGATGGATTGCTCAATTCCTATTCCTACATTTTTTACCATAACGTCATGACATTATATGCTGCGTATTAACTGAATTTTTATGTATACACGAAGAGAAATGCAGTCAACGCTTGTACGTATACTTTTATATGAGTAATATATAATATAATGGTGATATTATTCAATTGCGGCAGCAAGAGATGCAGTGGTCCACAAGGCGGCCTTGGTACATTGCAGCTCAAATGGAGAATACATTATACTCGCCAACCTTATAAACGTCGAGACGCGCTGACCACCTTTTAAGGCTGTCCGCCATAAACTAGCGTAGGCGCTTTATTACATATAACACACAAAGCCCGGCCGACATTCATCACAGAAGTACTGATTTTGTCGAGTACAAACGCACACGGTAAATTTCTTTTAACACGCCATTAGTAACTCCAAACCTGCCAATATAATAATAACTGTGTTGAATTCAGATATTCCATGTAGTCTCTAATAGATTTATCAAAAGTTCACGCATGAAGACCATTCAGTTTTGATTTAATGGGGTCGATTTTGATGTATCTGCGGGTTCGCAGACTTAATTAATAAGGTAGCGACTTGCGAGCATTTGAATACAACGAACTCGCGAACAACGTTGAGGAATTAGGTTAATGCTGCAGAAGATCCCCATCGTGTTGGTTAATTAAACCCTGCAGGTTTATATTATAATCGTAAACTATAATGTGATCATGTGTCGACTATCGTATGCATACGTTTGTATAGGCTACGATTTCGATGGCTATAAAATGGTGCCGCGAACCCGTAAATTATTATCTTCACGAATTCTCTAACACAAGTAACATATCATACAGGAATAGTTAAGAAGAAAAAGTATATTAAAAAAAAATTAGGTATTAGATGGGGGGAACAAGGCAAGATAGTCAGATTTAAGCTGATGAGTGCATCAACTAATATCGAAAGAGCAATCAAGCGCACTTAATAACCCGTTACCTATGGTTTTATGCGTTTACATCAATCAGAGATCACCTAAAATGCGGTCTCATTATCGACAAAAATCACATCTTGTCAAGTACTTGCCTGAAATACCCATCGAGAACGACCACAAAGCAGTACGCTCGATCAATAACACTAATTATCCCACACTGCTCTCGGAATCGGTACAATATCTCTATTCCCTCAAAGAATAATCAACGCATTCGAGTCGTTTATAAGTTATGCAGAGCAATGTTAACAAGATGATGGATAGTCCGACATTCCCCACAGTCATGTAAATTAATAAACCAACTGGCTCCTACTTTAGTCTAGAAATTATGTGTATTCTTTAGAGACTTATGGATACCAGAAAACATGAGACACACGGTTTAAACACTGAATGCAATGCAAACAGTTGCTGTTCGCGTTACAAAACTAGCGTTGATGTTTCCAACAAAAGGAAAATGAACGGCAGAGATGTAAACGTGTGTAAAATTTTACATCAATCATGTATTTTGACATTATTAAATACGAAAAACTTTGATGAAGAGTGTATATCCAGCCACGGGTGAATAACACCTCAGCTATTATGATGCGTTTGGGCGATAATAAGGTGTGATGGACAATGGTGTAATGTGATTAGGTCCTTTAAAAATATTATCAGGTTATTATAGTGCTATAAAACACTGGTACATTAACACGAGCTTAATGTGTGCGGAAAAACATTACATTAATTTAGCCTAAGCGTCATAAGATTTAGTAATTAATAATATATAATAGAATAATACAGTGCGTCTGATATTTAAATAAGATAAGAGTATTGAACTTTCAGCTGGATATTGTGGGTTGGACAATACAAATCCTGAAACGATTTTTACATGGGATTTGTCCTGTTATCTGACAATTAATGTTACATGCAGCAACACTACTTGTTATCAATATAACAAATAAATTATTTCTAGCAATACTACGCACATTCTTTGGCTGAAGAATAGGATACTGCGCGAATGGTCTAAATAGGAATGTCAACTGCCCGCAATTTATCGACCAGCGTATAATTGTATAAGCCGTTCCCCATTATGAAGTATACATAATACGTTTTTTAAAGGACAGCAGGGTCGTAGCAAAAGGCGATTAAAATATATTCAGACTCTGAACGTATTTTTACTACAAAAAAATAATATCTATTACTAATAATAAAAAAATGAAAAGTAACTAATCAAGGAAAACTTTAAAGTTTTTAGCGATTCCGTTAAAAAATAAATAAGTAATACATTTCTAAATATTTGTACCAAGCAAAAATATTTACAGTTAAAAATTGCGATCATCAACGTTATGATCTGCAAATAGTGTCGGTTTTCAAATTTAGCTATATCACATACACAATATTATATTTCATTGTGATGTCTGATAACAATATTATCTATTGTAACTGGATTGGAATGTCGGCGATTCCTACTATTATTCGATGGTCTTGTTGTCAAAAAATTTATTACAATTGAATTTCTATTACAAAATACAATAAAATGATTTATTATAGACGGCAATCAATTTGTTTTAAATAGTAAGTCTAAGAGACGTCACGAGGTGTTGTTTGGTAATGAGTGTGCACTTTGATACATAACTTGTACATGAGTTTTATAGGTGTTCGTTTAAAAAAAGTATAATCCTTTTGTTGAAATGACTGCTATAAAAAATTCCCGTAAACAACCGAGGCTGGCGCTCTTTGCCATATACGATTCTAAGTAAACTAAACAAGATTTTATAATAGCGAAACGAACGTTCTTAGAGCTTATGTCCAACAAATTAACATCTTATGTCTTTTAAATGTATTAACTGATAAAGCATAAAATGTTAAGTAGGAATAATAAATCTAGTGATTGCTTTCGTATAGTTTTAAAATGTTTAATTTACTTATAATGTTGCAGTCGGTTTTGCGATCAAAAAACTCTACGGAGTTGGGTGTTTGACTTTTTAAAGTAATATTATTATAGTAATACTCATTTTAAGTATTTTTTATTTAATAATTTTGATTGTTCTGCATTTCAGATGTTCATTGACGTTTTACATTGATAAATGTTTTTATTAAATTTCCACGTGAATCCAATCAAATTTTATATGGTAAAAATGATATATCCACAAAGTTGTTATGACTTACGGTTGTACAATAAGCAGAAAATTAATGTTCTTAGCAGTTATTTTTTATTATTGCTGCTGGTTTATTGACGTTTATATTCCCTGGACCACATGCTATTTTATAAACAGAGTACACATTTTCTCAAGTGATTGTAAACTATATTTTTTAATGTATGCTATAGAATTTCTTTTTACCGCATGATATTTAACAAAGAATACTCATATATTATAGACTATTAACTTTTGTCTGAAATTCACAAATAAATAACGTTTGATCACCTAGTTATGAAAACTGTAAATAAGGAAGTGTAAATTACATTTTTCTCACGCATAGGTATTCTTTAGGAAATATAAATGTAACAGTTATGGGAAATATATTAAAATGTATGTTATTAAAAAAATTGTATAACTATATTTTTAAAAGAAATAAAAAACGGGACTATTTAAGTGCAATTGTTCGTTTTATCACTAAGCTGGATAAGTAAATATAACTGTTTAACTAGTAGTTTTTTTTTACTGCGTACCGATTTTTTTTTTTAATAAGTTGTTAACTTTAAAAATTATTATACTTTATCAAAAAACGACTATTACATGTAAAAATGAACGCTATCAGCTTTTCGTGGCATGTGCTTTAAGTTTAGTTTTTCTGTGTGGGTTGTACAATGTCCTTCCGCTCAATATTGATACATTTCATTAGCCTGGTTTCAAAATAAAGTGAAATCCTTGGTTCTTGAAATGACATTGGTCCCACACATGCATCGATTTCTAATATGTTACATTGGATGAAATACAATTCAAATTTGAAATATTGTATTGGTACAAAAACACAACGCCCATAATTTTCATTCATTGTAATGATTTGTGACAAAACTTGCTACTATTCATTGAGAGGTTACCATCAACATAATGGTTACTCTTTGTAGATTCAGGAATACTGCGGTTGTCTAATTAAAGCTATTTTCAAGTGTTTTTTAAATACCAAGCATAGAATGACCGAGAGGTTTGGTAAAAATTCAACCAACAATTGTCCGTTTCTGTTCCGAGAACAAGAAATAATATTAACCTAAATGATTTTTTAATCTTAAAATAAGTAAATTTATTTTAATGAACTCTTCGAGTGTTGATTTGGTTATTAAGACCAAGTGTTGGTTTGCGAGTCATCAATATTTCTACATATCGAACACATTGGATATGAAGAATATATATTGCATAATGTTTAATACACTAACTATGGTATAATAAAAACTGTTACAATATACCATAGAAATTTGATTTATTTGTATAAGGAATAATTAAAAAAGGTAATCCAATAGGATTTTTTCTTTAAATCGT